CCCCATCCAACCTGGCCTTGAATACCTCCAGGGATGGACGGGGCATCCACAGCCTCTCTGGGCAGCTGTTCCAGCACCTCACCACTCTCATAGCAAAGAACTTCCCCATGACATCCGATCTAAACCTTCCCTCCCTCAACTTCAAACCATTTCCCCTTGTCCTGCTGTTACAAAGCCTGTGGGCTGCAAAGCTTCTGTGAGCATCTTCAAAGCTTAGGGTGCTGGTGACTGCTGCTCAGTGAAGTGCTGTGTGATCATGGAAGATCACTGTTGTTTTCAGGAAGAAAAAAATCAAGATTAATCCCCAGATGATATTGTTCATAATTTCTTATTTCTGCATCTTTCCAGCGGATAAAACCAGTCATAGAAAACAGGCGTGGAAAATTAAACAAGGAATCAGATGCAATCTATCAAAAGGCGTTTGATGTAATCAAAGGGCATCTGTATGTTAGAACGCACTGTCAGTTGTTCAGTATGTTTTTATGTTTCCCTTTGGTGTCTGTGTGCTTCTTAGGTGGTCCAGACAGATGAGGTGTGCGTGAAGCTCTTAGATGTGGGCCGTTTTTGGTGGGATCCCTTTTTGGGATGAGTGTTGGTCACTATCTAGGGCTAGGGTCTGAGTTAAGGTTCAGTTTAGTTTTGGGATTTGGAGAGAGAGAAACTGCACATCCCCATGTGAGTGGTGCTGGGAAGGGTCTGCCAAAGAAGTTTGATGTGTACCAGGAGCTTTGACTTGTGGGTCCACCTTTGTAGGATCCCGAGCTAGAGTAGATGTTGGAGCTTTGACTGGGTGGTTGTTTGAGTTGGTCTCTATCCAGGTTTACTGTTTGGATGAGGTTTAACGTTTGGATTCTGGCTAGAGTTTGGAAAGAAAGTGCATTTCTCCCATACGTTGGATCTGGTCACTGTCTGGGTTCAGGGTTAGGGTTTCTAAAGAGAAAGTGCATATCTGTTGTGTGAGTGAGGCTGTCAAAGAAGGTTGAGCTGTACCAGCAGTTCAGATATGTGGGCCTTTTTTGGTGGGATCCCTACTTTGGATGGATGTTGGAGCTAATCACTAGTTTTAGGGCTCAGTTTAGATTTTGATTGGTGTGTGGGGGTTGCTAGGTCAAGGCCTAAAGCAGTGATTGAGTAGCAAGTGAGAAGGTGTAGCTAACCCAGGGCACACAGGTACAAGCAGTGCACCTGCATGACTGGAAGTGGGTAGACCTAGGGTCTGCCCTTCCTCACTCTCATTTAAGGGAGCAGGTTCTCTATTTGGAGGTTGCCTCTTCTGAAGACTTTAGTGGCCTTTGGAAAGGGTAAGCTGCTTATTCTTAGGTCATCTTCTGAACATATCTTCATGAAAACTAAGCGTGTTTCTGTTCTGATAGAAAGCAATATCATTGCCTTCCCTTACTCTACAGCTTGGGAGAGAGAGAAAGCCCAGAGTGCCTTGTGTGTCAGTGAGATTGGAAGGATCTGCCAAAGAAAAATGAGGTGTACCAGAAGCTACTTTGAATCGTAGGTTCCCTAGTTAGGGTGGGAGCTTTGTACGTCTGGGTGTTGAAGCTATTCACTACCTAGGGTTAGCGTTTGGGTTTGGAGAGAGGAACAGAACAGAGCCCTTGTGTGAGTGGGATTGGGAAGAGTCTGTGAAGGAAACTGAGCTGTGATCCATTTTTGGTGGGATTCCTAGTTAGGTTGTGTGTCAGAGCTGGTTATTGTCCAGGGTGTGAGTTAGGGTTTTGAGAGGGAGGGGTGGTGCAAAGCTTCCTTCTGAGTTTATAGTGTTTTGTTTTGATGTGAGAAATAGAGTTTTAGTTCACATCTCCATCTAGCTATGTTAAAGTCTTCATGTGCATAGATAGCCTTTGCCATCCTGAGGTTTTTGCAGACAGTTTCTCTTAGGGGAAAGTAAGGCAACTGATCGGAATCTTTGGATAGGTTTTATCTAAAGACTGGTATGTATAACATATGTGCCTGAGATCATCTTCTGGGTACTCAAGTAATGGCTTTGGCATTTCTTTTGCTTACTTCTTTTGCTAATTTTTAAGTCCTTCAGTTTTTGGTTTTGGTTTTTTTTTTTTTTAATTTCCCAGGTAATTGTAATTTTTTTTATGTATTGCTCTCCTTTAAAAGTATATCGTTTTTGCATTCGGTGCTGACTATGCAAAAATCTCACATCTTTTAGTTTTTTCGAAGTGCTTGTGAATATTGGATTCCTATAGCCACGCCAAGATGTTTTCTGCCACATGTACAGGTCTGGAAAGGCTTTTTGGCTTTGCATTTGGGGTGGAGCATATAATGAACAGGACAGGCTCTTTTTCTGCTGGTAGGATAGACTGAGTGGGGGAAACACTCTGTGCAAACGCTAAGAGACCTTATTGGTTCCTTCCATCTGATGCATGGGGACTTAAATTCACTAGAGAGACTGGTGAAGTGGTCTGGGAAGAGGAGAGAGCTTTCAGCTTGCTCAGATTGGCTCTTCAAGTGGCAGATATATCAGAAGGGCATCTGAAATTACTTGAAGGGTAAGAGGAATCTTTTAGTTTTGTTGTTGTGGGGTCTTTTTGTGTTTTTTTTTTTTTTTTAATTTTTGCCTGAGATTCTTGTTTCTGAATAGAAAAAACCCATCCATTCTTTCTTTGACATCCTGTAGTACATGTCTGCCATTTAAGGCTCTGAAAGCCTTTGCACAAACATCAGCAATCCTCTGTTAGGCAGATGTGTTATTGCTGCAAAATGTATAGTGTATGGAGTAGTAGTTAATATTGCTCCCAGACAAAGGAATTAAGGTTTCACAGGTTGTCTCCTCCACAGTGGAACCACAGCTACTGAAGTGAATGTGAGTTTTGCCATTGACTTTAACAGGGTAAGGTTTTAACCTGCCAGTTAATTATTTTAGAGTGCTTGTTCCTGGCAATTTCCAATTTAGGCTTTCATTTCTGTGTGATGGTGATTGTATATAATTACAACAAACACTATTAGTAATTGTTCGTTGTTTTCTTGCAGAAAAGCTCTTTCTATGCTTTCTAATGCACCTTTTCACAGACTTGCTGGTGGAAGCCAATACAGTACTATTTCCACAATAATACTACTTTATTATTTATGCCAGTTATAAAATGTGAAATTCTGTGGGTAAGTAAAATTGAACAAATACAGATGTCTGAATGTTTTTGAACTATACATTCAACAAAACAAAGATTTGCTTCAGCAAAGGCCAATTGACTGATGCTGGAAACTAATGATTTAACAAAAGGGAGCCAGGCAAATCATTATAAAACACTGATCTCAGAATGCTGATCCTAACTAACAAAAGTGAAATTACTGCTAAGCCTCTCTACATTTTCTAATGAGTATATATCGTGTCAGAAGCAATTTTCTTGTGGGAAGGGTTAATACATCTTGCTTACCAGACACTGCAAAAGAATTAGTGTAGCAGAATATCTATTATTCCTCCTGTGTTCCTTGAGGACCCTCCTGTGGCTTTAGGATGGTTAGATATGCCCACTTTTCTAACTCAGCAGTTAGGAAACTGCCAACTCCTCTGTGTCTGGTACTGTGGTACAACTTGGCAGTGTTTGTTCTAGCTCAGGATTGCAAAAATAGCACGATGTACCTTGGCACTTACCAAGCTCAGGTCTCAGTCCATGGCTTCTTGCATTGTATCTCCTTTTTCTCTGTCTGCTTTCCTTCAGCTTTAATTTGTGTTGCTTCTGGTGTTGCTTTGTGTAACTCTTGCTGTGCCCACATACGTGTTCTACTCTGCTGTTTGGGAAGGCTTCCTGATCTCTGGAAATTATTTTCTTTTTCTATGAACTTGTTTTGTTGAGGCAGTTTTTCGTCAATCATCCACCATGGTTAGTTCCCCGATGCTCACAATTTGATCTTTTTTGATCTTTTCTCTCCTCAGTTCCATCTCCACCCGCATCATCAGGTGACACTCTGCTGGTACCCACAGCCAGGTCTTCATCAGCTCTTGCCTTGATTATAGCAGCTTCCAGTCATGCATTTTCTCCAGAACTCAAGTGCTGATCTGGGATGGAGAAAAGCTTGCAGAGCTAGGCTGATGAAATCTTCCACTGTAGGTTCTCTCCAGCTGTGGTTATCCTGTGCTTTGCACAGTGAAAGATGTGAGCAGGGATTCTTCCACCCCTTTCCTCAGGAGAATATTTTCTAGCTTCACAGACCTGACTTCTAGATGTTCTTTCCTAAATTCTTCCTTTCCTTGGTCTCCTGTTGTTGCTCATTATGTGCATGACATGATATTCTCCACAATGAGTCAGTTAAACCCGCTCTTTTTAACAGCAGGGGAAAATCTCTTTATTACATGATGAAGAAGCCAAAATAGCTGTCGTCCTCTTTCATTATGCTTGACAGAAATCCATATGTCTGAGGGTTTTTCCTCATAAATGATCTCCAGGCTGAGGAAAATCTGAGATCAATTTGTGGTTCTCAGGAAGCCCTACTTAGTAATGACATCATGTTGTAACCCAGAATGCTGCTTAGCACTTAGTGCTGAGAGAAGGGATTTTGTCTGTGCTTTGTTGGGGCAAGGATTGGATTCTGGCTCCTCATTTCCAGATTTGGAAATGAAGGAGGCAGGGAAGAAGCCCTACCTCAGCAGTACAACATACCCTTTCTCCCCACTCCTCTTGCAGGAAATTAAATCTGCTAGGTAAGTGCTGAATGGAGGAGGGAGAAGATTAACAAAGTGAAGTGCTGCTTGTGAATGAGAAGCAGAGATTATTGCCTTATTTATTAATATAAAAATAAAATGAAATCAGTACCCTTTGTTTGATCTCAGTGAAGATCTTCTCATAGACAGGCTATCAAGCTTCTGGTTGAAAGCCATGCTAGCTGAGGTGCTGCTAGAGATTGCTTACTCTGACCAGAAGACATTGGTAATTGTAATCTGGAGCACAGCTAGAAGACTGTTTTAGCTGCATGGGGCTGAAAAGGGTTATGGCACAGTTAATAGTTGTGTTGGACTGCAGTACCGAGTCTCGTTTACAAGTTTAAAGCTCCCAGTCAGGGAGGTCTAAAAGCACTCTTGATCTAACTCATACACTGTGACTCTTTTGCAGGTACTAACCAATTTATGATGAATCAAAGCAGACTACTTGTGGAAAATCATGAATACCAGCTTTATGATCATATTTCTTACATTTTCTTTCCTTCTTCTTGAAAGCAGCTTTGCTGTTTAGGGGTCAGTGCTTCTTCTGAAAACCTACTGGATGGATTTCCAGAGCTGGTTTGCCTTCCCCGTTGGGATACTGCTATGTTGTACTCTTCAGGCATCTGCCATTCAAATTCCTGCTTCTGAAAACTGCACCAGCAGTGGTCAAAGAATATCCTTCAGCCACTCCTACAAGATTGACTTGCCCACATCCTCCCAGATCAAGGTGGAGGCAGATCCATTGCAGCACGAAGGAAGCAGTGGGGTGCAACTAGATCCTGGTGAGGCTGAGGAAAATGAAGAGCAGGATATCATCTTTAGGCACAACATCTATGTGCATGCACCCAAAGGGAGCTGTGAAACTCTGGCCCATGTTAAAGATCTTCTTGAGAGGATGGAGAAGCTAGAGAAAGAAGTTGCAGAGCTGAGAGAAGCCTGCAGCCCTCAGAAGTGCTGTGGGGGAAGCCAGGGTATGTAACAATTGAAGTATCTGTTTTTATCTTCTACGTATAGCCTGTTTTCTGCAGAGAGATGGGGACTGGAATCCTTTTAGAAGGGTTATGAGAGTGAGAAGCTCAAGTCCTGCAGACAGAATGGTGGTTTTGTGATCGGAAATGAAATCTAAAGGTCCCAAAATGTGGTAGGACACACCACTTCTAGAACCAGTGCAGAGGAAATCTCCCCCAGTCATCTCCTAGCAATGGAAGGAAAGAGTTCCTGAGTTTCACATGGGTGAGCAAAAGATTAAATGGAACTCTGAGGGAGGGTGAAAGGTGAAGGAGGCAGTTTTTGTTGCTGTCTTCCTTTCTCATTTCTGTCTCCAGAATTTTGCATTGGTTGAGAACTGGTAGTTTTGTTTCCTCCTCAAGGCATGTCTAAAAGAAGAGCAGTTCCTGGTGATGTTTTTTCTGGCAGCCACTTGCTCTCTATCAAATTTAGCTGCTTAGCACATGGGAATAATGAACTTTCCATGTTCATAATAACAGTGATGATAAGTGGTGAGCTTAAATTACAGCTCAGCTTAGAGGCTGTGGAAAGCTTTCTAATTGATTGGTGTGTTTGTGGATTTTGCATTCCTGCTGACTCCAGACAAATGCACTGGGAAAGACAAGAGGGAGCAGGACCCTCTTTGGACCAGGGGCATGTGGGCCGTGTGATCTTCAGCTCCTCTTCAGCCCACATATAGTCATGCTTTCCCTTTATTGACCTTGAACGCACCTTTTCATTGCTCTGTTCCTCAGTTTATTTTCTTTTTTCTTTTTTCTCTATGCATCACCCTTGCTGTTGTGCATTGTGGTGCTGCTCTGGCCAGGCGTCACGCATTGCAGCGGTCACGGGATGTTCCTCTATGAGACCTGCAGCTGTAAGTGTGCAGAGGGCTGGGAGGGCAGTGATTGCTCCCGCCCCACCTGCCCCAACCTCTGCAGTGGCCACGGGCGCTGTGATGGAGGGAGGTGCATCTGTGATGAGCCTTATTTCAGTGAGGACTGCAGCCAGCAGCTCTGTCCTGAGAACTGCAGCGGCAATGGGATCTGTGACACGGCTAAAGGGGTCTGCATGTGCTATGAGGAGTTCATTGGAGAGGACTGCAGTGAGAAACGATGTCCCGGGGACTGCAGTGGCAATGGGTTCTGTGACACAGGAGAGTGCTACTGCCATGAGGGGTTCTTTGGCCTTGACTGCTCCCAGGGTAAGATATGCTTGTGAGTTATTTCTCCCTCCCTCCTTACTTTCATTCTGCATTGAGGAAGCGCTGGGCAAGCCAGGCCTGGAATCACTAAAGTCCCTTCTGAGTTTCTCTTGGGATTGTACTCAGGGATGGCTGTGAGTGCCTTATGTCTTCAAAATTACCTGGAAAATGTTTCTGGATCGAGAAAATAGGAAAACACAGGTTAAGGCAGAGCTAGCACAAACATGTGGATAGTGACTAAAGGAGAGAGCATAACAATGTACAGATCCTGTAAGTAAAGATGGAACTTTGTTTCTTGACATATAAGTGAGATAATAAAAGGTGGAATTATGGCTGCTGTAGGGTGTGCTGCTTGCTGATAAGGTAGATGATTTGATAAAAACTTGTTAGATGAAAGATGCATAAAGCCTTTAAATATCCACCCTTTGAAAGCAAGGGTTTTAGGAAACTCTTACAATACCCTATTATGAGGCAGAAGGATTTGCCTGAGAAGGTGGAGTAAGCTCACCTTGAAGTGTGCATCCAACAGTCTCTGCTCAATGCTGGATAGCTTGGTGTATATTCTGAAAAACCTATAATCTCCCTATAACCACAAGCTGATACTGCAGGCCTTAACACTCAACCTTTTGCCCTGAAAGCCACCTTGCCTTCTGTGCTCAGTCTAATCTTTCACAGCTGCTCAGAAAGGAGAGGTAGGTAACAGCCGCATACTGAGCAGCAGCTGGTGCTCAGTAGGGGTTTGCAATGACCTTAGTCTTTAATGCTCCCTGTCATCCCTCACCTCTCAGACTCAACCTGTCTGCTTAGAGACTCACCGTTTATACAGCCTACTAGCTCAAATTCTTCACTGAAACAAGAGCTGCACATGGAAGTTTTCACTCCTGCTATCCATTCTGCACTACTCATTTTTCTTATGGCTGCAGCACTCTCCCATCTTTTCAGCAGACTGGCATCTGCAGCTCAGGCCAGCACCTTTACACAGGTAGCAAGCAGAGAACTGTTTCCCAATGCAGCCTCTCTAAGGGGCTGGCTGGGTCCAACCTTGGGTCATCTTCCTTACACAGTGCCTGCAGCTGTTTTATAGGCTGTGAAGGGGGCCTGTATTCAAGTGAGCAAGCATTGCAGAGCTATATATTGCAATATATATTGCACACTCCATTTTGCTGCTGTTCTTAAGCTTTCACTCCCAGTTAAAAAGTGTTTTAAGTCCACTTAAGTTTTAAGTCAAATGCTTCTTGTGTCAGCACCTGTAGTCAAGTTGTCCCCTTTCTATAGCTGCCAAATTGCCTTTTTTCCTTTTCTGTTCCATTGGATTAGATTTTTGTAACCTGGGATTAAATTGAGCACTGTTCTTTTTTGTTTGTTTGTTTTTAATGTATCTCAGATAATGAAAAAACATCTTGTTGTATGTTGCCATGGTAACCAGCATGTCTGCTCATCTAGAATTTACTACCAAGCATGCAACAGTATAATTAGTGCCTTGCAAAGGAAAATTGATGAGAAGGGCATGCTGAATGGCAGATATTGACTTGTGCTCTTTCTGGAGTTTCAGTTTGCTGGCTGCTCAAAGATAGTCTTGTGGGATATTTGTAGATGAATAAAACAGGAATTTCAAATGAAAACATCCTTAGAAGTTGTTTTTGGTATCTCAGCATGACATGGATCTAATGAGGAACTGTTTTGATGCTATAATCAGGAAAACAGGAAAGAAAATAAAGCAGAGCTGGCTACTCTCAGCACAGTAAGATCCCTGACAGGTCCCGTGTGCCATCACTGAATCTATGAATGTGCTGTTCATTGCCTGCTCATGTATTCCATTAGGGCCTCAGTCTGCTTCTCGAGGAGCAGCTACCTGATGGGGAGGGATTGATGAGCACAAGCAGAGCCCAAGAAGGATGTATGGCATGGCCTGCAGCCACCTGTCCTCCTAAAACACCTCAGAATAAATTAGTAGGGTCTGTGGGAATCCTTTTGCTTCAGGCCAGGAGTTTCCCTTTCCATTTCCTGGGCTTGGCACTCTCCAGGAGTTGCTTTCCACTCCATAAAAGGAATAATAAAATAGTAACTTTTTCACTTAGACCGACAAGGAGGTGAATGTTTGCTTTGCACGTGGCCACTGAATGGGTTTGTGTCTCTGCAGAGCCTAGTGGTCTCAGTTTGCACTTCTTAGTGGAACTATAGCTGTCCATATGCAGAGGACTTCTGTATGATAGCCTTCTCATCCGTTCACAGAGCAACAAGTTGTCTTCTGCTGCAGCCCACTGAAATAGAATCCTTGTGACTTCACTGAGTCCTGGACCAGATTGTAACCCATCATCCTCATTGCAGTGTTTTTGTTTGTTTTTCTTCTAGTGCTTGCTCCTCAGGACTTGCAGCTGTTGAATGCTACAGAGGATTCCATGGCTGTCAGCTGGGATCAAACGATTGATGTGGATAATTACCTCATCAGCTATTACCCAGTGGGGCATGAGACACTGGAGAAACAAGTCAGTGTGCCCAAAGAGCAGCTCAGCTATGAGATTACGGGTCTCCATCCTAGCACCACATACAATGTCACACTTCGTCATGTGAAGAAGGGAATTGTCAGTGAGCCCGTGCATCTAGAAGCAAGTACAGGTAGGAATGGAGAGACCTTTCTTTCAGAGTTAAAATCTGTAGGTCTTTCATGTTAGATTTAAGCAAACAGTAAATGGTTTGGTTTTGCAAGCTTGGAGCATCCTGTCTGAATGCTGGAGAGCAGTACCTCTTTCTGATCCTATCTCAGTTTTTTGCTATTGTTCTCTTCTGGTGAATCTGCTTCTAGATCTGTATTTCTGGAACTCAATGCATTGCAAATTTCCTGTGTCTCCTTTATCTTTTCCAAATCTGACTGGCATAGACACTTCTGAATACCAGGGAATCAGTGATGTTGTCCACTGCAGGAAGCATACTGAAAGCCAACATATTATTAAGAATAGTGCACTGTTTGACTGGAGGAGGAAGGGACTTCAAATTAGGGAGAGCATCTTTTCTAGCTGTCATTTGCCAGACATGCCTTCAGTAGTAAACTTTCCTCATAGTCTCCTCCTAGGACTGAATGAATCAGATGCTACTGAGAACAGCAAGCTGGGTATGGAAAGACTGAATTTGAAGCAGCCACTCTATAACTGAATGCCATTTTATTAGTAGCTGGTAGCATGCTGTCTGCCTGCACTTGGCAAAAACATGGAAAAGTCGGGTTATTCTGACATTTTTTTCTTAGCTCTAGCATAACAGGTTGGGAGCTGAGAGCCAGAGAACTCTTGAATCAGAGTGTTATTGTGGATGAAACGACTCCTGTTGAAATAGTAGTTGTGCCATACTCACTTAAATCTTAAGTTTGGCCAAGGAAAGTGGCTTAGGTCTCAGAACAGTCATCTGAGGAGGGAGGAGTCTGTTTAGCAACTTCCTATCTTATATTTACCTTTTGATGCTTGTGCTGCTTCTTTCTGGCACACTTTTCTGTCCTTCCCAGTCCCATCTGCACTCAATGCCGTCTGGGTGACGGAGGAGATGGAATATTCCCTGGAAGTAGAGTGGGAGAACCCACCAACAGATGTGGATTATTACAAGCTGAAATTCAGATCCCTGGTGGACATGGATGAGAAGCAGGTCGTGGTACCAAAAAGCAGTGACCCCAAGAGCAGACACATCATGACTGGTGAGTACTTGTGACTATTCCGTATTGGGCAGGGAGAGATGGTACAAGTGATTTGTCTTTATCATACTTATGAGATGATTCTTCTCTCTTGTGTTCTCCTTCACCTTGAGACTACTGTATGCCAGGATGAGATCTGCTGGGAGTCCTTCAACAGGGAGAAATTCTCTATGCACTGTGGATAGCTTTCAAGACAGCTTTAATTCTATCCTTGTTACAAAATAAAGTATATTCTTCTATTTCAGAACTGGAAATACCAATGTTACAGAAATCCTCACTATAGTTAATATGGACCCTAATGACAAGACCGAACCAAGACTGCTTCCAAGGCATTCTCAAGACAAGAGGAACTTTAGATAGATATCTACATTTTTAAATGCTTCTCTGCTACAAACCTAGAACTGGGGAGGCTAAACAACATAGCTTTCTTTAAGAAAAATTACCTTCTGATTACAGGCCTAAAACCTGGCATGGAGTATGAGGTTACTGTCATACCTGTGAAAGATGATACAGAGGGTAAACCAATCTCAGTGAGTGGCAGGACAGGTAGGTGGAATGTTTCTTTTATGGTAATGGTTTTACTACAGGTTTTGGGGACAATTCTATCAAGGTCACAATGTGAAAGATACTCAGTTTACTGTTTCTTCATGCATACTGCTGTCAGGGCTGCTATTACCTCATTTAAGCTTGTCTCTATTGTTTATTAAACACTAAACCTAGCCCTTGATTTTAAACCTACTTTATTCTTAATCTGAAATGAGCTTAGGAGGTAGGTCCTGTAGTTTGCTGGTTCCTGAGTTCCCTAACCAGATGACTGTCAAGATGACCTCACTGAAACCACATACACATGATTTCCAGTCTGGGTATAGCTGCTGCTGCTGACTGCTTTGCAGCTGTTAGCTGCTAGTGATTTGTTTGGCCCCTGAACCTGGGAGCAGTAAGGAAGAGGGTAAGTTCTTCTTCCTTTCTGTATTCCCTGGCTCCAGCATCATTTTCCTGTTTATTAGACTGTGAACTGAACAGTAGAAGATGCTGAATGTTTAAACAGGTCTGGAAAACCTGTCAGTTCATTGATGCCTCAGGCTTTTCAAAAATATGGCAAAACATTTTTGAGCTATTCATTATATTACAAAAGGGATCTTGAAGAAATTTCAGTTTCTCATGCTGTGAGAGGTATTGTAGTAGTCTAATTTATATGAAGTTTCCTAATCCTGCATTTCAAAATGCTGTTCTCAGGAATTGATAGCCCAACCAATGTGGTGACAGATCGGGTGACAGAGGACTCAGCCACTGTCTTATGGAATAAAGTTCAGGCTCCCATAGACAGGTACATGGTGAGATACACCTCAGCTGATGGAGACACCAAGGAAATAGAGCTAGGCAGTGAAAACAGCATCATCACCTTATTGCATCTGAAGCCAGGCATGGAATATACCATCCATATCTGGGCAGAGAAGGGACCCCACAGAAGCAAGAAAGCCAACACCAGAGCTCTGACAGGTAAGTTGCAGTGACAGCAGGAGTAAACTGGGTCTGAATTTCAAACACCTTTATTAATTTTACTTGTTTCAGTACAGCTTCTGTATTGCCCAAGTTTAGCAAGTCAAAAAATTCATTTAATTCTTATCAGCGTGACTGATAAGTCTCCAGCTTAGCAGAAGGTTCTTTGAGTCCTGTTATGGGGACACTATGGCTTGGCACTAGTTTTGTCAGTACAGAGAATGGTTAAACACAATGAAAACTAAAGCCTTAGAACTATGATACATTAAAAATGTCTTAAAAGTACCATCAACCACCTCCAAGCTGTTCTTGTGACCTTGCCCAGTAGTAAAGTGAGATCATAGAAGTGTTGCAGAGTCAGTCATGACAGTGTTTGTTAAAAAGGAAAAATGAAATATATTGGTATTCATGGCATAAGGTAGAAATTGTGTGGGGAATCAAATCTCCTAAACAGGACAGTCATGTGGTGATAGGGATCCTCAGTTGTAAGGGCATGTGAGCAGCATCTGCAGCTCTTTTGGGAAGCCTCTCAAAGCACTGCTTTGCTCAGTTTTTATAATCAAGCCTGATGTATTCTCACGTGGCCATGCAGGAGCAGATTCTATTGACTACCTACAAATGTATGTGTGCATACAAGCTCCTTCCAGTTCTTTGGGCACAGAATAATTTTCCAAAGCTCATCTGTTTTTTCAAAATATATATTAGTCTAATAAAATATACTGCCTCTGCCTATAAAACTTATGTTGTCTTTATCTTTAGACCATTGTGATTACTGCAGTGCTTTGCTGAAACTTCTAACAAAGAGTTTTACTTACAGAGATGGACAGCCCAACTAAACTGTTGACTGACCAAGTGACAGAGAATGCAATCACAGTTTCCTGGAACAAAGTCCGGGCTTTAATAGACAGATACAGAGTAAATTACACCTCGGCTGATGGGGATACAGAGGAGAGAGAAGTGGAGAAAGACAAGAATTTCACCACCGTGGCAGGACTGAAGCCAGGCATGGAGTATGTTATTCATGTCTGGGCAGAAAAGGGAGAACAACAGAGCAAGAAGGCCAGCACTGAGGCTGTGACAGGTAAGAGGGCAGTAAGTGGGGAGTATAAGCTACAGCCTGGTTTTGCCTTAACATTGAATAAACCCATCATTTTCGTGACAGAGAGAAATTCAAGCTCAGGAGATGCATTAACCCAAAGATTGTATCTTGCTGTGAAGCCCATTCAACTTTATCACAGAGAGATTGTAATTACCAGTATACATCTGTACAGTACTACAGATAGGCTGCATGGTGATTACTAGTAGTGTATTAGTGGTCTTCACCTGTGAAAACGATGCCATTCCATTCTAGCATCAATCATGTATTTGTCTAGTCTTATTTCATTTGTTGCTTTATCCTTTTTCAAGGGTTAAATAAATGCTCAGTTCCTTTTTGCAGATGGAGAACTTGAAGTGCAGAGAGTAACAGCATGCAGGATGTTCTTTTTTTTTTTTTTTTTTCTTGCAACAGGATAATTCATCCAAGTTCCTCAGTTGTTCTTACCATTTTGTTCTCTCTTCTGTCAGTCCTGGTAAGGATGATATAGTGCTCTGCCCATTGTTGGCTTATAACATTGTGAAGCTGAGTGTATCCATTACAAGCATTTACAAGAGCCATGCTCTAAATCAGGGACTGCTGAAGAGAAATGAGTAAAAGAGTACCTGGGTCTCTTAAAAAAAAAAAAAAAAAAAAAAAGGAGAAACCAGCCTCAGAGGGGAAGGAGTCTTGTGGTGTCACAGCCCAGCCTGACTGTGACATCTTGCATTCTTGACTTTTTCTTCTCTGCAGAAATTGACAGCCCCACTCACCTGGTAACTGATCAAGTGACAGAGGACACAGTCACCATCTCCTGGGACAGGGTTCTGGCTCTCATAGATAGGTACGTGGTGAACTACACCTCTGCTGATGGTGAGACTGAAGAGATAGAAGTGGGGAAGAACAACACTGCCACAACTCTGGTAGGACTGAAACCTGGCACTGAATATGTCATCTACCTCTGGGCAGAGAAAGGAGTGCAGCAGAGCAAGAGGACCAGCACTGAGGCAGTGACAGGTATTCTAGAAGAATCCTGATGGTTCTATCCTGTGTTGTGAAGGTGATCTGTTTCTACCATGCCTGCTTCCTTCTGTTGCAGCACGTACTAGACAGCAATTTATCTTGTGCTTGCCTATGATGTGGAAACATTCATATTACAGGCACTTCAAGCTTCAGGCACAAATACTGCCTCCTCTCAAGTCAAGAGAAAACATTTTAATTACTTGTAGGAACTAACAACTGATCTGTTAATTTAGGAACTATCAGACCAGTGTGAGCTTCATTATGCTTTGCTAAAGCACTGTAGCCCTCATTTACCAGCCATATGTGCTGGTGTTTTGGTCTCCAGGTATGCTGAGCTCTGCAGGTGTGGCTGAGTGTCGTTCCACAGTATATAATAATGCTGTTGAATCCTACTTAAAATTATGTGCCACTGATAAGAATGGCATTAGCCAGTGAATCAAGGCTTGGAAGGAAACGCCCCCACTTTACCCATCTTCCATAACCCAAGAGGGTGAAGAATTTTTTTGAGCCCAGAATAAGTCTCTTAAGTATCAGTAATTCACTTCATATCATGAAGGCTTTTGCTTGCAGGATCTGGATGCTTAGTTAGGCTGAAAACTGACTGACTGGCAGCTTCCTAGAAATGAGGAAAAGATATAGAAGGTCACAGGTCTCACTATCCTGATTAGCTTGAAGGCAGACACGGTGCCCATCATCTGTATGATGGGGCTATAGAAAGCCAAAGCTTTTAAGAGCAACCTGTGTGTGTTTTAGTTACTTATACTTCATACTTTACGCTTTATTTCTTAGAATTGGACAGCCCAAAGAATCTGGTAACTGACCAAGTGACAGAAGACTCAGCCACAATCTCCTGGGATAGCGTCCGAGCTCCCATAGATAGGTATATTGTGAGCTACACTTCTGCTGATGGGGGCACCGAGGAAATAGAAGTGGGGAAGGCCAAGAACATTACAACTCTGACAGGACTGAAAGCAGGCATGAAGTACACCATTCATCTCTGGGCAGAGCTGGGAAGCATGCAGAGCAAGAGGGCAAGCACTGATGCGCTGACAGGTAACTATGGGGAGAAGAGAAGCAGAGTAGAAGAACCCCACTCCTTTGTTAATTTACATTTCATGATCTCTCTTTGCATTACTGGGTAATGAAGATGTACTGTGGTAAATACATTCTGGAGATAAGTGCATGATTATAGCCTGACACAGCAGAAACTGCTATTAGAGGCTGCTGTAGAAGAGACAGATGTCAGAACACAGGAGTGGTGACAGCTGAGTACACAGCTTATTTCATTTCCTAATCAAAAGCATGCAGTGCTTTGTATGCTGCTATCAAGCCTAACAATAACAGAAGTTTAACAGCCAAAGTTAAACCATCTTAGACATGGAGGCAGTTAAAAAATAATGGCTTGACTCATGACCTTAGACTGTCCTAGGAGACTGCAAAACAGGCTTAAATCTATCTTGTTCAATCAGCTATAAGGATGATGGTGTTCTGGCAGTATTTCAGGGTCACTCCATATCTGTTGGCCTTGCTAATGCTCTTTTTCTTAGTTTCTGAGTCAAGCTGGTGTAAGATAGAAAAGATAAAGCTTGAATTCAGGGCAAGATGCCAGACTGATCCCCAGTGCTTGCAGAGGGCAAGGGCAGCACATGGAAATAAAAGGATATCTCTTAAGGCCAAATGTCTAAGCCTGTCTTTAACTGGAAAATTTAAGGAGCATTTAAGCAAATTGAAATGGTTTTTTTTTGAACTAGAATGAAAATGGATGCACCTGGAAATTTCACATGAATTGAAATTGCACAGAGAGGGAATGCATTTAGCTTGAGTTGGGGTGTTTTAGAAATATCCATGCCCATAAAATTATTATTTTTTTTCTCCCCATCTTGGTGGTATTTAAAAAAAAAAAAAAAAAAAAAAAAAAAAAGTGACACCTTTGGTAAAACAATCCAACTTCTGAAAAAAACAGACACGTTTTTAACTCTAGGTGCTGGCTGTTTATTCACTAACATTCCTAAAATATGCTGTAGCAGGGAGCTATTCTGCAGTTATATCCTTCACCTGGGGAAGCTGCAGGAACAGCGCTGTAAAATTCAAGTGCTGTCTGGAGGCTGTGCTTCCCAACACTTGCTTCTCGTGTTGGATCTGGCACCTTTTAGCTCCCTCTTCTGTCCATCGAGTGGTACACATGTAATGAGTAATAAAACATTATTACACGTGTAATAAGAATTGAGTCATTAATTTAAAGCAGTTGTGTGGCGTAGGAATTGATTAATAACAAACAAATGATTGTCTCAGTGAATGGTGGATTTAATTTATAATGAATAGCTCAACTTTTAAGCAGCACATTGTGTCAACTTAAGAGTTAATGTCTTTGATTCAATTTCTCTGGTGTTTTGATTTTTTTTCCAGTTTTTATGTCTTTTTTAAGCAGTAACCCCCATACTCAAGGAATGTAGAGAAGCTGTACTGTTCTATTCTTCTTGTTTATCTAATAAAGGCCAAAATATTGGCCTTGTTTTCCTCCATGGCCTTTTCATAACTTGTAATATTTCATTGTTGCATTATTATCATTGTTATGATTATTCTCATAACCCTCTCCAAGATCTGAGAAGTGTTATTGCTTGGCTTATACAGAGAAGAATTGAATCAATGAGCAAGCTAAGCTGCATGCTTGTCACCTCCCATGGAGGTCTACGGAGGAACAGGGAAGTGTTTTGAATTATTCAGTTCTAGTTTGCTGTAAACTCAGGCATTCTTCAGGGCTGGAGCACTCTTCTCTCAAGGCTAGCATTGCCTACCAAATGCCTTCTTTCTAAAATGTGGAAGGCCATACAGTCCTACTGCTTACATTGTTTTCTCTAAGATGTTCCCAAAACACCAGAATAGCAAGCATAGGATGAAAATTTGAGAGAGGCTGCTTCCACTGTTATTACTTCCAGATGAGCTTAGCAATTTGGTTTTATCACGAGGGAAGACTGGAGCCCTGTTATGGGTATCTTATAAGACAGATGCTTTTTGACACCTGCTGTGAACTAGTGTTGCTTAAAAATAATTCTCAGACTTCTCAGACAGATGAGTCAGGAGCTTCCAGGCCCTGGGAGGCTCTGTACAGTTGAGCCAGATGCAGGACTCACTAAACCACAAACCAAATCTGTAACAGATCTTGCCATGGTTGGTCTAGGCTTCTGTTGCAAACTTCACTGAGTGACTTCTGTAGTTTCCAGTTCACAGGATCAGATACTGCAAAGCTCAGCCCAAGTTTAGCACAGGAATTACTGTCTTTCTTTTATGCAAAGGGACTTGAATTTTTTTTTTCTTTTTCAATAGAGATTGATCCTCCCAAGAACCTCCGTGTATCAAATGTGGCTCAGTCTACTGGTGTAGTTACTTGGGCTCCTCCTGCAGCACAGATTGATGGCTACATTCTCACCTACCAGGGTCAAAATGGCACTAGCAAGGTACAGTGAATTCCTCAGCCCTGCAGAACTTACTGACATCACCCTTATGGGTATAGGCTCTGACATCTGAATCTTGTGGGAATATGGACCACAGGTAAATAATTTTGAGGTGGAATCTGTGCTATTATTAGCCTGGGGAGGCAGAGCCTAAGGAAATGTGCTACTGTTCAGAGTAGAAGAGACTCTGTGGAATACCATTCCAGCAGATCTTCAGGATGCAGAGAACAAGTTTTACTGCTTCACTTTCCCTTTCTAACTTGTTACTACATGAAAAAGCAGCACTAACCAGGGACACGGTGTCTTCAGTATTCTAACAGTGTTTATTGAGACCCTGCATCAAACCTTCCTCCTGAGGAAATGGCCTCCATGTCTTAAAGATATGCAGCTAGTATATGCCTATCTGAAGAAGGATACTCCAAGAAAAGCCTATAAATAGTTACTGAGTGTGAGGCACTGTGGTCCAGAAAAGCTAAACGTTGTACAGAGTTGGGTTGATCTTCAGTCTGTTTTATTTGGCAGGAGGTGCAGCTGGGTCCTGGAGAACAACAGTTTGTGCTGGAAGGACTGGAACAAGGAACAAAGTACACTGTGTTTGTGATGGCCTATAAGGGAGATCGCCAGAGCAGAAAGACAGTTGGTACCTTCTCAACAGGTAGGATTTGGTCTTGGGTGTTGCACTTGCTCCGTGGAGCTGCTCTGCAGCTGTTGTGTTTTATGGTTGAGGTCTGAGATGGAATTCCTGTTCTGGGAAACAATGTGATCAGAAGCAAATTGTCTTGTCTTCTGTCTGGGTTCCGTTCAATGCCACACTGTCCAGAGTTTTGGAATCCCAACAGGATAGTGCAAGAGTAAATTCCCCACACTGGTCAATGCTGCTGGCAAACCATGCTGGTCAAGTGCAGGGCAAAGCCTCCTGGTGAGTTGCCATTGGGCATGAGAGAAGATAATGGGCTAGAGATTTTTCAGCACTGTCACAGTAATGATAGGCCAGCAGTTGTGTAAGTACTGTTGTGATCCTGAGTAGCTGCCTAGGTTGTTTCCAGAGATCAGGAAACATATGCCTGGATGCCAGCAAGTCAAATATTCTCATGCCTTGATGTGGGCGCCTCTTATACTGAGCTGGTCCTCACAGAGGCTGCCAATTGTGGGTAGGTTGTGAGATGCAGAGAAAATGCCTTCTCCAGGGCTTCTCTTTCTGCTCTCACTGTAACACAAGGCAGTATCTCTTGCAGCTTCTGGTGACCCCATCCATGCCCCAGCTTCTGAGCAGCGAGGAAGGTTGCCACCAGCTACATGCTGATGCAGCTGGGCACTTTCTTTACTTCTCTTCCAGTACTGTAGTTCATAAGGGATTCCTGGGGGTGTGAGATGGCTCCTCCAGCTTTGCTCTCTCTTCTCCCAGTTAGCTTCCTCTACCCGTACCCTGCGGACTGTGCCCAGATGCAGCAGAATGGAAACATCTCCAGCGGCATGTACACCATTTATCTCAATGGCAATGGCAGCAGGCCCATGCAGGTGTACTGTGACATGACCACTGATGGAGGCGGGTGGATAGTGAGTGATTCTCTGCTACTTTTTAATTTCTTTTTAAATGGGTGTCATCAAGTGAACCTGGTAGTGGGCTTAGCTGATGTTCCTTTTTGTCCACTCTGCTGCATTTCAGCTCCTCCCGTGATGGAGGAGCATATTTTAGGAAGGGAGTGGATGCTGTTGTACCCTTTCAGACTGACAGTAAGAATACCGTGGAAGGCTGGATGGCTCAGAAACAAGGGGATGCTGAATTTTCATTGCTTGGTCATGAATGTGACTCAGGGCTTATATTATTGCTGACTGAGGCAATGCCAGTTTGATGTTACCTCTCACTAGCAGAGGCACACGAGTTGTCTATGAAAGTGCAAGGCAAGGTAGTACAACTTAAAAGTCTTTTGTAATGAGTTGACTAAGCTCTGTTATCTCATCTTGACCACTGTGTAAGGCTATAATTATGGACAGTTAATGCAGTTCAGCTGATGATCATATTTTAAATGCTAGAACTGTAAGCATGCCCCTAGATGGAGAGAAGCTGGAGGCAGAAACACAGACACTTTGAGGTGGGGAATTTGTATAAGGGTGAGATAACGAATCTGAGATTCTATGATAGCTGACTCCCTACACAAACAAATAAAAATATCTTTATTCACTTCTTCACCTTTTATTTTCAGTGATCCACTGTAACAAATTGTGTATTACTGTCCATGGCCCATGGATTCTGGTGAAGTTTAGAAACCTAGGTGTCCCTGTGGGTTTTGACCCTAAGCCTGATTTGTCCAGGTGCTGAGATCACAGTGGGATTTTTGCTACCCCCAGGCATTTGTGGAAAAGTGCAAAATTTGCACTACAAAGTACTCACCCCAGGTGTTTCTGTGCAGTCAGAAAATGGCAATGAATCCACGTGCACCCTGCTCAGTTGCAGCATACCTTTTAACTAGATGCATCTGTTCCCAAACGTTTCACCTTTCTGCCTGTACTTGGATGAGGATTTCTCACCCCCACCCTCCTTGACTCTCAAATGTCTGCCATGAGCTCTCACTCAGCAATCCTTGCCTTGCAGGTGTTTCAGAGGCGGAGCACTGGTGAACTGGATTTCTACAAACGCTGGAAAAATTATGTGGAAGGCTTTGGAGATCCCACTGGGGAATTTTGGCTTGGTACAGTACAAGGGTGTGACTGCTGAAGAGCTGAAGATTAGCTTTGTAGAGGCATCTAAATGCTGAAATAGTCAGACCCTGCTGAGTCTGCAGTGCTGACTTGTCAGCTGTTATGTCTTTCCTAGAAGTGCCATTTAAGCCATGAGTATCTCTGAAGGCCAGCTAAGTCTTTCCACTGGCATCTTTGGTATTTATAACAGTCCCAGAACAAGGCAAACTCTGGAAATATTTATTTCAGGCATGCATGCTCCTGTTCAAGGAGGAATAAAGACATTGTGATAATGAAAATGCGCAGTCCAAGCTGTTACACAAAAAGTAGTGTGCTCAGTTGTTTTTTGTTAGATAACTGCTTGCATCAGAGAATCCAGCCCTAAATAAGCCAAGGTCTTTGGGGCAAGAGTCTTTGAATGTTCTTGGAAAAATACTGTTGCACAGTCTGTCCTGTGCTGCTTTAAACTGTTTTGTCTTTTTTTTTTTTTTTTTTCTGACATTGCTATCTCTTGCCAAAAAATGGGATAAGACAGCACGAACTTGGCACAATGTCATGACAGCATCAAGTAATATGGGAGATAGACAGGAAATAGCTGCCTGAACCAAAATGGCCCCAAAGGGTGAGATTCCAGGGCTGCAAAGGTGAACAGGCCTTTCCCTTTTAACAGTAGTTTTCTTCTTTCTAGGTCTTGACCAGCTGCACAATCTCACAAGCAGCAGCCCCATCCACTATGAGCTGCGGGTGGATCTGCGGACAGCCAATGAGTCTGCCTATGCTGTCTATGACTTCTTCCAGGTTGCCTCGAGCAGAGAGAGATACAGGCTGTCCGTGGGGAATTACAGAGGCAATGCTGGTGAGGAGTGCCTGAGACTTGTTCTGTCTGCACCGTGCAGGGGAGCAAGTGCTGGGATTTAGGTATTTGTTTTGCCAGTAGCATGGGAGCTCATTAGTTCAGGTTAGATTGCATGTCCCTCTTTTTAAAGAGAGAGCTCTGTATTTCCCAGGAGGACTGAGGAGATGTCCCCCCTCCAGGCTTGTCTTCTGCTGAGGACAGGATTAAGCTGTTTTTTCACAGGGAAGAGAGCTGCTCTGTGACCCATTGAAACACCAGCTGAACAGGCAGACCTGAAGCATTTTCATGAGATTATTAGTTCACGGGGGAGCAACTTTTGGGGCTCCCCAGCTGAGAAGTGCAAAGAAAGTGGCTTTTGTTCAGAAGGAGGCTTTGCTAAGCAGTAGTAATCCTGGTGCTGGCTTCTGCCACTCATAAATCCTTATCACTGCTATTTTGTCCATAGTCTTCCACTTATCCTTTGTTAACATACTCCCCTGAGATTGAGATCTTCAGGCCTAGAGGATCCAGTCCATGAACATGCCTTCTATTAGCAGCCAATTAGAAATTATTTTCTAGATCCATTGCGTGCCATTGCTTTTTTCCTGACAGGCCTTCTGTGTTCTGCCTAATGAAGTCTGCATAAAACGCTTGGGCTGAGCCACTGCACACCCTTACTCTTACCATGTCTGTAAATCCTTTCTTTTAGGAGATGCAATGACTTACCACAATGGCTGGAAGTTCACAACGTGGGACAGAGACAACGATGTGGCTCTCAGCAACTGTGCTCTGACACACCATGGTGCGTGGTGGTACAAGAACTGCCACTTGGCCAACCTCAATGGGAAATATGGGGAGAGCAAGCACAGTGAGGTGAGTGGCAGAGCTTTGTGTGACTGTCAGCTCTTTTCTCTAGCCTGGGGAAAATATATGGAGGGGGGAGTTGCAGCAGGACAGGTTGCCCACGCTATTTGAACTCATTTTGTTTTAAAGGAGAATGACCCATAAGGAAGCTCATGGGTTCTTCTAGAATCTGAAGGGCTGAAGCTCACAATCTGTTTCTTGTGGTGGACAGAGACACCTAAGGTGGAGCTGTCTTAATTTCAGAGGGGAACAGAGAAAAGAAGTCAGATGCTTTCAGTGTGTGCCTTGGTGTACATCTCATTGTACTGCCTGATTTTGTGCTGGAAGATAACTAAGTCTGGTTGAGCTCCAGATTGGATGGATAGAGATTTAGTTTTGTATTAGGAGTATCTAGAATACTGACCGTGGTTATGGTAAAAAATCTGGTGGAAAAAAAGTGTCTCTGTCTGTGGGAAGATTAAATGGCATTAGAAGGGGCAGTGGCAGACTCCAAACACCTGGTCTAGGTGTTTTACTAAAAGAAATCATATGGTCTTTTTGCAGGGGGTGAACTGGGAGCCATGGAAGGGCCATGAGTTCTCCATCCCTTTTACTGAGATGAAGATTCGTCCTCAGTCTTCTAGTAATGAGTCAGTCTTGGCAAGGAAGAAGAGATCTCTACCAGGAAAAAGGAGGAAGATCAGATTTTAAATTGTCCTCTGTGTGTGACCCAAAGATTACAATTTGGTATTTTCTAACAAAGTTAGGTTTGGATGACTTTCTCCAATACTCTGGAAGCAGCTGCTGACCAGCTTGGACCCAGAAGTCTCTGAATCTGCAGCCCAGCCTGTTTCCAGCCTTTGGAGCTCCTGATGGGTGCTCTGTCAGAGACTAGGAGGAGACTTGTGGGCAGCATGCCACCTGTAGCTTTCCTGGTTAAACGTGACAAGGACCTGCTTGATCCAATGTATGCAACTTTTATGAACTGTTCATAAAACAAGCTTTAACACATGTTATTATTTCTCAAAACCCAGCTTGCTGACTCCTGATTTCTGTCTTTCTCTAATGCCATGCAGTTCAGACTTCAAATAATTCATTTTGATCCCACTGAAAAATGAAATCTTTCTAATTTACATTCGAGAGTTTTTCTGAGACTGTTTCCTCCCACATCTCTTGGTCAGTGGACCTCTTTTCCTTTCCCTTCATCATTTGGGGTGCAGCATTTCTTACTTTTTCTCCAGTCAAAGCACTGAGATTTGGGAAATGTTGTCAAGCTGCTGACAACAGGCCTCATTAACACAGGCTAAGACTGTAGGCTGGGTTCCTCAACGTCCTATATAACATTTTTCCAGGGTAATATCCTGATATATATTTAGCTTGTCTCTTCTTATTTCCCAGTCAAAGAAAAGCCTGAGGAGACATGCAGTAAAGGAATGTTCGCACTCCCAGGTGATGCCCCGAAGAAGGTAAATGGAAGAGCTACACTCCTCCAAGTGTGTCTCACAATCACAAACCTCTGTATAATCTTTGCTCGATACAGCCTGTGAAGAAAATTCTCCATGTGACCATCCCATCTGCCACCCTCTGCTTTTTCATTAACAGTGTAGATAGATAGCGATGTTGAAAAGATAATGTTTGTCATCCAACCCTAAAATTAGCATCACAGAACTAAATGGATCTGCACAGTCTCCCTCAGGCTTTTCTTTCAGGGTGGCTGGAGATTCAGGTAGGCTCCAGTGGCTGGTTTCACATTTAGCTGTTGTCTTTATGGTCTGAGGAAAAAAAAAAAAAAAAGCCTTACTTTCTCACCCTGAGCAGATATTTAAATTCTGGACAACCAGCTACATGCAGGGGAGAAGTAGGAACTCACCAAATGATGCTTACTTAAAGGCTTGCTTGTCTGAGCAGATTGGAACATGATTGTCTTATGTTTTAATGGCCTTTTCTATCCCAGTGCTAAGCTGACTAATACATTTCAAAGAGTCCTCAGACTCTGAAGAAGCAATAATATTGCAGATAAAGGAGGTCTTAAAATATTTCTGTCTTTCTTGCTTTGAGTGTCAGAATTATTATTCTTCCTCAGTTTGAACTAAGCTTTATTTACAGAGGTGGAGCAATACTCAGGCCTGTAGCATTGAAGAGCAATGTGGAAAAACTAGCGCTGTGAAAATTAGTTGTCTGGAATTTCCAAAATGGGGATGGGGTCTGTGTGATCTCTTCATTACTTGATACTGCAAAGAAAGTAACTGATCTTTGGCTGCTAGGACTTTGCTGAGGTGAGCTAGCCAGGGAGTTGTCTCTTACAAGTGAGGTCTAAATTCTTTGTTGTACTTTCATTTCCATGCTACTTGCATAAGTGGGCAGGCAGAGTCTCAGCAGAGCTGCGTTAGGATATCCATACCCCTTGGCATGAGGGAAGGAGGAGAGGAAAGTTGCACTTGAAGTTGCAACTCTGTCTTAAGAGCTTGAGGGAAAGAAATGGGAAAGGGAGGGGAAGAGTACTGTGCTGAAGTGATTCCTCTGCACTGCTCAGATGAGGGCAGGTTTCACTTTGTTGGTCAGCTAGAGAGCAGGTGACTAAAGGGCACCCGAGGATTAAATGTTTTACACTGAGCCTTTAAAAGCAAGCCTATGCTCTAATAGGCAACAGATGTGATCTCTCCCAGCGGCACTGTCGTGTGCACACTGCAGAGGCAAAGCTCAATTGTGTCCCAAACCTGAGTCTTACCTGGGAGCAGAGACTATTCTCTAACACTGTGTATTTTAGAATGAAAAGGAAGCGAGGCACCTTACTAGCAGCTTCTGAATTGGCACTTATTTCTCTGAAGTACAGGCCTGTCTCCTTCACTAGGAAGGGTAGTCAGGGACCACTGCTTACATGGGAAGCCAGTATTTCCAGACAGCCACAGGATGGCATCCTCTCTTCGTGCTGCTTTAGGAGAAACCAGTCCTGTATCCAGCTGGCCTCCACGGAAAGATGTTTTGAGGGCTAATCAGACTGTATCACAGATTTAAAGGCTGGGACTGCTCTGATAAAGCAGTTTCTTTGACTGCAGGAGCCGGCTGGTCTGGTTTAAAGATTTGGGCTTCTTAGAGTAGTCCCATTAAAAAAAAAAATAAATAAATTCACGTCCTCATACTGCCCTCATTTTGTTGCTATACCCATCCCCTACTGCCTTAGGCCCAGAACAACTTCTCAAAGCCTCTGCCTTGCTGGGAGATCACTTAAGTTTCATAGACAGGGGGGTTTGCAACATGCCTGGGGCAGAATTTGAATCCTAGAAAGATGTGCTGTCTTAGCATCACTGAGTTGACCAGGACCATGCAGCTGATGGGTCATGCAAACCCAGCTCTATCAGGGGCTCAGCATGGCCACTGCTCCATCCAGAGGGCTGGACTCTGCAAAATGCTGCTGTGGGGGAGAGGTGGCTGCTTCCTAAAGGCATTGGACTCTGAAGGGTGTAATTCTGCATTCACTGGGCCACAGGAGGAGAAGATGGGAGTGTCTTTTACCACACTGGGCACTTGGTTGGAAAGTAGCCAGCCTACTTCTGGTTGCTGCTTCAGGCTTCATTGGCTGAAGAAATAGAGGAATGGTCACTGAGAATCCAATTCTCCCTTCCTAATGGGACTTCGGGGACTACATGGGGCAATTCTGGCACCTTCTCAATCCCTGGGGCTGTTCCAGGGAACAGTCAAAAATTAATATCAGCCTCCCTTCCCCTCCCCCTCCCCCCCTCCTGCCAATCCTTCCCAAACCTCTGTGACCTTTGTGCAGCATCCAGGTGAGAGAGAGTTTTTGTTTTCATTCACTTTCATGGAGGGATTACTTAGTGGTACAGATGCCCACTGTGCCATTTGGAAAAACACTGCTCCTTTTGCATGCCCAGTGCAGACAGCTACGAGGAGCTGCAGACACCACGAAATGCTTGTCTGATAGAAATCAGCTGGGTTTCACCCTGTGCTGCAGAGCCTTCACACGGAAAAAAAAACCTTCCCTGCAGCCTGAAATGCTGCTTTTCTTCTTCCCAGTGCTTTTTGCCCTTGGGGAGAGGAGCTTGACTGTGTTCATTAACAAGGCGAGGCTAATAAATTTGATTAAGCTAAGCTGTTTCTTTAAGAAAACTTCAAGCTGCACAGCTGTCTGCAGGCAGAGAGGCACAGCACATCTGACCACTAAGCCCTCCCAGCGTCTTATCTAAGGCCAGGGAACAGATACAAGAAAAATTTCCCCATGAAAATAAACACAACTGCTAGAGGCACAGCATTTGTTTGCAGTTTTAGAGTCATTTATTTTTGTACCAAAAAAAAAAAAAAGCTAGAAAAATGTTTTTTTTTCTTTTTTTTTCTCCTGTTGCATGGACTCTTTAGGAAAAGGCTGATACTGAAGTGCAGTTGTGGGGAGGCAGTGCAGGGGGGGAGTGCAGCCGTGTTTCCGTACCATGCTGCTCTTGCCTTCGTGCTCAGATGGCTGTCACCCTGCTGATAGACACATCTGTCCTGCTGTTGTCTGGAGATGCAGTGGTTCAGCGTATGGTTTGGCCAAAACTGGGGAAAAGTACCTGGGTGGGGGACGGATGTATGTGTGGCAAAGCCTGAAAGTTTTCATTGCTTCCTGTTTTGGAGGAGGAGGGAGTTGCTTATTTCAATGGTCACAAAGTAAACTGGAATATAAGGCACATATGGGGGCAATTTAAAGCCCTTGTGTGGTGAGGAGCCCTGAGGCTGTCACCAGTGCAGCCAGACAGAGCGAAGCCCCGTGATGTGATGTTAGCATCACCACCCTGCTGGAGTTGCACAAACTAGGATGGGTGGCGCAAGGAACTGCCAGGAGCTGGTGGCTTTGCCAGGAAGAGAGATGAAGGAGATGGAGAGGGAGATGAGTGCAAGGTCCAGTCCCAGATCCAGCTGTGCTGATGGCCATGCAGCAGCTGGCAGTGCTGTGTGCTTGTGGGTCTATGCGTGCCCCTGATGTGTGGCACGGGGAAGACTGTGCTGGGAAAGTGTCTGCTGCTCCAATAGCAATTCAGTGCACCAAGCCCTGTAACAGAGGGGCCTTTGGTCCTGCTCTTTAGTAGTCATTCAATAAATAACTCTAATAGCTAAGCTGTTACACAGTGTCAGCTTACGTCTCCGCTCCTGCAGTAGCATAGAGGTGATGCAGCCTTTGCTGCGGTATGGTGGGCTCTTTAAAAGCAAGTCTGTACAAAAAAAAGTCTTTTAAGGAAGACTTTTTAGGTGCTGGTGCAAAAAGGGCTGGTCTTGCAACTTCCTGGCTCCTTCCTGCCTCTGGGCTGAGTGGCAGCATGGCCTTCTGCTTTGCTGCCTTAGGTTGGGACTTGAGGTTTCTGAGGTTGGGCTGAGCGCATCCTGCGAAACTCGTATTGCTTTTGATTTGGGGGTGGACGGCCAGGATGCCTGCACTGTACTGTAATGCTGCACTCAGCTTGCCTTGCATCTCCAAGGTGAGAGTGAGCATGGCCCCATGGTGGCTCAGCAGGCCGTCTGTGCTTTGCAGAGGGTTTCACCTTGGTGGGGGGCATAAACCCATGTCTACAGGCCTTGCTCTGTGCCGGCCCACTGATGGACTCAGCCTCTCTTCAAAGTCACCATAAAGTGGCAGCAGTTCGGGCATCTCCTTGTAGCACAGCTGGAAGGACTGGAGACATCAGAGTTGGTCGCTAGATAGGCAGAGATGGCCTCTTGTCCAGCAAGAGCAGCTTGGGCTGAGCCGAGATCCACAGGTCCTCCTCATCCTTCTTCTTCTTCTTCTTCTTTTTCTTGTTCCTCTCGGCCTGCAGCTGCCCGTTGCTGCTGGGGCTGTCCCTCTTCCTGCTCTGTCTCCTCCAGTGGGAGAAGCAGCAGTGGCAGCAGATGAAGATGGACGCGATGAGGACAACGAAGGGCAGCCCCAACAGCACCGCGAGGCAGACGGTGTTGAAGACGCCCTCCTTGTGCTTGGTGCGGACAAGTTCCAAGATGGAATTAAAGAAAGAGCTGATCTTCTGCTCCATGCTGGCTTCTGGGTAGGATTCCTCTTTTATGGCTCCTCGGGATATGTTTGACTCCTGTGAGGAGCTAACAGGCTCCACGAGCTGCTCTGGACGGTGCCTGCAGAGACAAGAAATCACTCAGATCAGGTGCCTGTGCCCTCGGCATGCTTTGCTTTTCCTCAGAGCTGCCAGCACAGCCAAAATCTATGCAGGGCGAGAGGTCTGTGCCCACAGAGTCCAGCCAGGAATCGCACTACGGAGGAGCATTCAGGTGGGTGAGAGCCTGCAGGACCCAAGCAGATCACCCACAGCGTGGGTCTCTGGTCCCCAGAAAGCAGCCTCATGCCCCCCAGGGGCTGTCTGCAGTGCCTGGGCTGAGAAGCCTCCATGACTCACCTGGGAATTGCTCCAAGGCTTGGGCAGGGCTGAGGAGCATTTTTGTGGCATGACGTGAGGTTTTCCTCCCCCTCAAGGAGGGAGAGGTGCTGCTGAGCCCCAGGTTTTTGGGGAAGCCCTCCTGCAATAGAGGCAGCCAGGGTAAGGAAGCTGCTGCCTCTACTCTCAACCACCCTCTGGTCCTGCTCGAGGGCCAGGCAGAGTTCCTGGGGGTTTTAAGCCAAGAATTTGGAGGTCATTGAGTTATGGATTGTGTAGGTGGAAAGTCAGCAGGAGCAACATCAGGCTCAGAGAGCATGTTTCACCCTGATTTGCATTTTACATCAGTGTCTCGTTGCTTTGCTTTTGCCTTTGGGAGTCCAGCCCCACAGTCTCTCAAGGGAATATTGAAACCCCTATCGTGCACCACAGGGGAAGCTGAGGCATAGCAAAAGGAAAACTAAGACTTTCACAAGGCAGCAGCTCAGACATACAACCACACATACAGCACAAAGGTGTCCCAGAGGAGCTGCTCGCCTTCACCAACAGACCTAACGTGTAGGGGAGAAATGCTAATCAGAGCATTTCTCTGGCACCTGAACTCTGTTTGCCGTATCCACCGAATTGCTGGTTCTCCTCCTCTAGGGAGCAGTGGGAAGGGCCCCAAGCTGAAACCTCCATCTCTACAGTGCTGCCCTTCTCTGCTCTGAATTGCATATATATCGCTGCAGTGGCACCTGCTATCTTTAGATAGTTTGGTTTCCTGCAGCACTTTGGGTGCACGCACACCCAGCCCACCTCCTAACAACCACCAAAGCTATCTGATCCAAAAGAAAAACCATAAGAGCCCGACAGCCTGCAGCACAGCACCTGCGACCTGCCAAAAGGAAGCAGCACCGTGGTGTGCAGGCTCCAAATGGCAGCTCAGAGGCCAAAATCCTGTCGCTGCTCTATTGCCTACTTCTTGCACGGTAAAAAGAGAATTAAAAAAAGCTTTGTTCCCTGGAGGGGTAAGAGAAAGTCCCTGGGTGCTCGTGGTGCTTCCTGCTGCCCACTGCACTGCAAGCAAAGGGCACGGAGGAGTGCAGAGAGCACTTCTTTGAGCTGTGCCGTGTCCCAGATTTCCTCCTCTCCGAGACCATTTTTAGTGCAGATGTCGTAAGGTTAAATGGCCGTACAAATAAACAGAGCAGCTTTCCCTTGGCTCGAATCGTCTGCCTGAAGCAGGTTCGCCATTTATCCATAAATATCCTGACAGCTTGCTATCCAGGCAGGAACACTGGGATCCTATGATGCACTTCATTCCAAAAAGCTTCTAAAGAAAAGAAAAGAAAAGAAAAAAGCGAAAAAACAACCGCCTCAATTTCAGACAAAACAGGATGTTCAATTTTACTCCTGCCCTAAGCCGCTTCATGTTTACTGCCTGTAAACTTCAGGGGAGGGAAGGAGGGCTGGGACTTCCTTTTAAGCTCATAATTAATTGTTTGCAATGAAAAAAAAAAAAGGAAAAAAAAAAAGGAGAGAGTCCTTTGAAATGTTTCCACTTGAAAATGGATCTGAATGTGGGGAAAAAGCCCTCGTTGGCTATTTAGTCTGCAGGGGAAGGCTGGCAGCTGGGACCCCTACCCTGCAGTGTGGGACAGCAGAACCAAAGGGTGATGCATCCTTGCAGGGCAGGCAGAGGCACGGCACCCAGCACGGCAGCAAGGCTGCCTTGTAGCACTGCTGCTTTTCAAATGCCTTTTCTTTTTGCTGCGTGCATCGCCTTTTGTGTTGTGGATGAAGAGATGCCTGTGCGCTACATGAAGGGGCTCTTCTGTTACTAAATAAATAAATAGGAGAGGGGAGAGCAGGAAAACGGGTGCCTTGTTGAGCCTGAGAGTGCTGGGGTTAGCCGAGGCCACCCATTGCTAGCTCAGCGCCTGCCTTCCTGCACGCAGCCCTTCCTTCTCACTGCTTTTTAGGAAAGTTTAGCGCTGCTGTCCCGTTTGGTGCTGCAGCAGCAGCATCTCCCTTCAGAGGAGGATGGAGGGGCAGAGCCACAGAGTTCAAGCTGTGATCCAGGATGGGTGTGAGCGCACACGGAGCTGCCGGTGGGAGGTCGGCGTGTTTCTGGGCCAAGAACCATCAACTGGGCCAGGAGGCACTTGGAGACAGGGCAGTGTCTGGGAGGGCCGCTCAGCGCCTGCTAAATGCGCTCTTTGTGCTGGGGAAGTATTGGCAATGCATCAGGAGGAGGCTGACAGGAGAACTGGCTCGGGAGGTCCTGCAGTGGGGTTTGGAGCTGACGTGTGTGCCTCTCCTGTTGGGATTATTGGAGGTGGGAGCCCAGCACCGCATCCTTTAATCCACCTCGGCTGGAAGCAAGCTGGTTTAAAGGACGGGAGCATCTCCTGCGTTACAGGGGAGGGGAAGCAAGCTGGGGGCACAGGCTGGGCACAGGGAACCCAGCAGACGCAGCCTGGCTTGCCCACATCCGTGGCACAGCAACCGCAGCCGTGCAAGGAGCTGCAGGGCCCCTGCAGATGAGGCCAAGGGCTGGGAGTCACCGTGCACCAAGCCAAGGCGCAGTGTGTCCCAGGTCCCCTGGAGCCTGCGAGCTCCGTGACGCAGCCGGGCACGCATGCGGAACACCGCCGGTTTTCCCTGTTTGCACCTGCAGATTGGAAGGCAGCGGGGTGAAGCCTGAGCCGTCGCAGACCTGGAAGCGGTGAGCAGCAGCAACAGCAGCAACAGCAGCAGCAGCCTCGCCGTCATCCGCCCCGTTCAAACGCTGCAAAGCAAACGTGTGCCGAGAGCCGCCGCACGGAGCAGAACTTCACCCCGTGCCCCCCAAGCGCACGGCTCCGGCCCGGCATGAGCGCTCCCGACGCGGCTGCTGCTAACAGGGGTTAAAGCGAAAGCACGGGCTGAGCTGCACGAAGCACAGCACGGACCTCGCCCGGCACTGTGCAACAGACGGCACAAGACCCTCTCTGTGCCCGCACCAACGTCACCAAGAGCTCCGCAAGCGCTGCTCCACCTGGCTCAGCCCCGGAGCCCAGCTGCCAACCGGGGGAGTCGACAGCATCTCCTGCGTCCGTGACACCGTCCCTTCCGAGGTGGCAGCCGCGGTCACCCTAATACCTCGCACACCCATCCCGCAGCTGGGCACCCCGCAGGCGGCTCCCGCAGGAGGCTCCGCGTCCCGCCGGCCCGCACCTACCTCGTCCCGCCGAGCAGAGGGAATGGGCCGCCCGCCCCGCAGCCTCCGCCCCCGGCCCGGCCCCGGCGGGGCTCCCCCCGCTCCGCCCCGGTGCTGGCTGCGCTCCCGGGCCCTAGGGGAGGAGCTGAAGGGACGGGGCGGACGGCCCGAGGGGAGCTGTGCTCACAGTGCGGGGTTTGGGCACGGCGGGCAGGAACTGGAGAGGGCTGCCTTTAGACGGGACGGGCTGTGGAGGAGGCGGCTTCCCTGCAGGGCGGTGCTCGGAGGGTTCGGTGCTTTCCAGACGTGATTCCTTCTCGGTTTCGAACACCCCCACCCCTCCCAGTTTAGGTTTTCCTTCCCGTTTCTCTTTTATCTGCTCACGAGGGATAACCTGGATGCGCCGTAGCCTCGTGCGCTGTGCTGCCGGCCGGGCGTGCTGTGACTGGAAGAGCACACAGCTGGGGCTGTCCCTGCCGGAGCAAGAGGTGCAAAACCCACGCCTGTTTGATCCTCCTTAACTAGAAGTGGCCATTTTTAGCGGCCCCAGGGCCAGCATAGCTGCAGGTGTTGGGCCTTGGGCTCATTGCCCTGTACTGTGGCTCAGTCCTTTCTTGTTGCTGGCTGACTTTGGCAGAGGCGCCTCACCAAGCAAGGAACTGCTGAGCCCCAGCCTTTGGGGTCCCTCGTGCCTCTTTGCCAGCTCTCAGGTTTTGCCAGTGAAGGTCCAGGTTGGATATCAGGAACAATTACTTCTCCAAAAGAGCAGTGATGCATTGGCACAGCTGCCCAGGGAGGCAGTGGGTCACCGTCCCTGGAGGTGTTACAGAACCATGGAGGTGGGGCACTTAGGAACATCATTTAGTGGACAGTATTGGAGGCAGGTTGGACTCGATGGTCTTTGAGGTCTTTTCCAGCCTGAATGGTTCTGTAACTCAGAGATAGCTGAATAGCCTCATATCCTCTTTCCAATGGTGGTCCGTAACAGATGCATTACAAGAACACGAATCCCTCCTAACCGATGGGACAAGGAGCCCCACAGCTCAGCTACGTGTGGTGTTAAAAAAAAAAAACAACCCAAATTTTGGGGGTTTGAACCTGTCACCTGTTAGTTTCATTCAGCCTCCCCACTTCCCTATCAGTGAGGCTGTGGGGCAGCTCTGACTCAGCAAGCACGAGTGCTGGGGATGGCAGCAACGATGCAGTGACCGAGGGGATGTGATGGAGCTGGTGATGGTGACTCTGCCCTTGGGCAAGATGTGGCCACTGCTGCTCATACTGAACTCTCTGGCTGCTTTGTTTTCCAGAAGTAGCACCAAGTCAGAGGAAGCTGTGACTCAGAGGCCGATGAATCACTCCTGCTCCGGATTACACGGCTTTTTTCCTCCTCCTGGGCCTCCAGCACGGACGGAGGAGCCCACAGAGACATTGGTGAGAATCTTTTTAAAGCTGGAACGAGACCTGAACATTTGGGAAGCACTGCAGTGACTGGTGGTGAAAACACTGCTGTAACACATCGGTGCTCCACAAGCAGGGCTCTGTGTCCCACGGGACCCATGGGATCTGCCAGCACATGGCCTATTTTTAACCCAAAACACGCAGTGCCCCAGGATGTTGTGTTTTGAACCCTCATCCGTGCACCCTCACCCTCCTCTCAGCCTCACTGCAGCAAAATTCCCCAATTTCCCCCCTCCAGCACAGAGCAGATCTGCTGCTCACGGGCACACCTTCCCCTCTGCTCTGTTTGCACACAGTGGCCCGGCTCAAAGTAAGCAATGGAAAACTCTGCTCGCAGGGAAACATTCCTCTCATTTTTCCCCGATGCTTCTGCCTTTTCCCTCCTTCTCCCTCTCCCAGCAAAAAGAAAGGAAGAAAAAAAAAAAAAAAAAAAAAAGGAAAAGGAGGCTGCAGTTTAAATGCTAAAAATAAAGCTGCCCAGTCGCTTGCTGGATAAAAATAGCGGCCCCTGGTATTTATTTGAGCAGCAGCAGCAGTCGCCTTTCCGGCTTTGGAGCAGAGCTCAGGAGGAGGATGGTGTGGGCAATGCTTGGGGCCAGGTGCTGGGCACAGAAGCTGCCTTGGGTTTGGCTTGAGGTCAGGCCTTCCTCCCCCTGGGGCAGTTCTTCAGGGGCAGAACTGGCCCCAGTGTGCTGGGTTCCATCTGTCTGCCAGGGAGCTGTGCCCCCAGAAGTGCCTGTGGCTCCGTTCTGCACCCACAGCGATGGGGATGCTGCTCCTGTGCTGTGCGGGGCTGTGAGGCTGAGCACCCCCTATTAAAAGGAGGATTTGTTTGGGACATTCCAAACAATTGGTGGTTGCTTTGTGTGTGTGAGCAGGAGCTCCTTCCTGAGGAAATCCCATGGCAGCAGGAGGTAGGAGAGCGGAACTGCCTGCAGGAGCTGTGTGGGGAGCAGCCCGAGGATGAGGTGGTGCCCCAGCATGGAGATGGGGCGGTGGGGTGTCCTTCATCCCTCAGGGCCCAGCATCCCTCAGGGCTGGACTTTTTAGGGATGTCAACCACATGCGTGGGGCTGAGCAATGCTGGGATGTGGGCCTTCCTACCCAAGGGCTGTATCTGACCTGGTTTGCTGTCTGTTGGGATTGCTCACTGCAAAGCAGAGTCCCAGGGGTTAACGGCTTGGAGCCGAGGTGTGGTTGGGCTGCTTGGATTCTGTTGTTGTTGTTTTTTTTTAATCTCATGCTGCTCTGAACACCTGGTTTCTGCCTGATGTTGAGAGCTGCCAAGATGGCTTTTTTGGGGGAAGAATGTGCTTGTAATGGTGGGAGCAGTTGCACAGCCCTCTGCATTGCGCTCCATCCCTCTGCTGCAGCTGAGCATCGGGCACCCCTCGGTGTCAGCACCCCAAACCTGAGGCCAGCAGAGCAGCAGCAGGGCAAGGCAATGCCGTTCCTTTAACAAATAGCAGGCACCATTTTTCTTTTTTCTTTTTTTAATAAATATTTTTTTTAATCTCACATTCAGCACAAAGCTTCGTTGCGAGCAGCGTAGGACCTCAGTGTTTGGGACCCGATGCTGCCCCACAGCTCTGCTCTATGGGGACCGTGCAGCTGGGGCAGGGGGGAAATGAAAGCAAGATGCAAATCGTTGGAGGGGAGAGAGGACAAACAGCCAGAGGCCTTTCTCCTGTGGGTGTTTCACCCCTCCTTGACCCCCTCAAGGGACAGCAGATGCCTTTCTTTGGTGATGCTCGAAGCTTTGCTTGGTGCTGGGGTCGGTGGGCAGGCAGGAGGAGGCATCTTCAATATTTCTGCCTTGATTACCATGTATATCCCTATGCTTTTATCATGGGAAACTGCTGGAATGGGTTGGAAGTGGCACAGTGTGCATGTATAGGTGGGAAAGGGAACAGCCCATGGGCTGCCTTCACCTCTCTCCCAGTCCCACAAAGGGGATAATGGATCAATGAAAATTAAAAGCCATACATTTGGATTTGATTAAAAGAGATATCTTTTTTTTTAATGCTCTGCATAATTATGTGGTAGCGCTTGTAGCTGTGGGAGTTGGAGAGATAAAAAGGGGAATGAGGGTTTTAAATGGATGATGAGCACATTCTGGCTTACGAGGGGGAATAAAAACCAAGAAACAAACATTAGAAACAGGGCTGCAAGGAAATATCACGTTCTGCAAGGCATCAAGCGTGGGAGGTGGGCACCCTGAGCTCAGGAAGCTTGGCACTTTCTCTGCAGGGCAGTGGGTGCTTTCCCAGCCCCCTAAGCTGGAAGGCAGAGAAGGGGGGATGGCAGTGGGGGTTTGGGATGGGGGGTTAAAGCTGCTGCTGCTCAAGTGCCAGGCTTGGGGCCAATGCCTACAGGCTGGCCGAGAACCCTTGTGTGCCCTCCTGGTGTTTGCTAGTGGGACAAAGTTCCCAAGCATCACTCATGCAAGAAGGGGACTTTGGTAAGAGGGCTCTGATGAAATATTTGGGTACAAAGTGCAGATGGGGTGGCGGGCGGCACAGTGCTTGGCTGGAGCTCGGCCCCAGGAGAAAAGGGGCTGCTGTGCAAAGCCCAGGAGTTATGCTTCTTGGAGAGGTTGGGAACGGGATATCTTACCACTGTGTGACCCCGTCTGGAATGTGCTGGACTTAGCATCAGCACTGCATGCAATGAGTGCATGTGCCACACAAAAAATGTGCTGTGCAGGGGCAGTGGGGTGATGGGCTGGGCGGGCATCGGTGGTGGGTGATGGGGTTGGTGTGGTGGGGTTCAGGACTGCCCTGAGCTGAAGGAGGAGTGTGGGGCATTTGGGAAAGGGCTTGTCATGGGGGGCAGTCTGGCCCCCTCTTCATCCAGTCTGAAATGTGTTGGAAAGCAGTTGGCCTCACTTAGGGGTCATACGTGGCAGCCACCAGGTTGGGTTGCTGAGATGCAAAGCACAGTCAGCTTTAGCAGCACAGGTGGTGCCACACCTCTGGCTGTTACCCACTGTGATCACTGCTGTCCCCACTAGATGAGCACCACGATGGAGATCGAGATGTCCTCCACCTCCTGTGACTCCAGAAGACTTCGTGAGCCTTGGTGCAAATTGGAGCTGAGGTTATTCATTGGCACAGGGGCCATTTGGTGCCAATGGCTGAGCTCCAGGCTCTGCTGTCCTCTCCCCACAGCAGTGGGGCTGCAGATGTGCCCCGTGCTCTGCAGTTCCCTTTTTTTTCTCAAGAACTGGAGTAAGAAACAGGAGCATAGAATGCACCACAAAGCAAATTCCCCTGGTTTTGTCTCTCTGGAATTAAATTTAGCAGTCTGGCAGAAGGGCTTCTTCGGGGCTTTCTCATTCTGGCTGGCTGCACGGTGAACATGAAAATTTAAGATGTGAGATCTAAATAAAGCCTGTGTGCGGAATGAAGGGAGGCTTCCCATACTCTCTGAGATTCTCACTTGTCCTGGAGGTTTTGCTAAACCCCATGCTGTGTTTTGTTTTACCATGAAAATGTTCTGCCAGGAAGGTGCCGGTGGAGGGAGGATACCTTGCAATGGGGCTTCAGCCCTCGAATCACAGAATTGTAGAACCATTCAGGTTGGAGAAGACCTTCAGATCCCCAAGTCCAACCCCAACCCACCCCACTGTGCCCACATCCCTCAGTGCCACATCTCTGTGGTTCAGAATATCTCCAGGGATGGTGACCCCACCACTCCCAGGGCAGCCTGTGCCACTGCATCACCACTTCTTTGGACGAGTTTTTTCCTAATATCCAACCTAAAACTTCCCTTCACCTCTCATTCCTCCCCTTTTGCTTTTCTTCCCAGACAGGCACACAGCTCACTCGTTTGGTATCTTTTATTAATGTATAGAAAATGCATTAAAAAAAGGAACTATACATAGCCTAAGAGCGGTCAAGACTAAAAATACTAGTTAACAATGGTTAACAAGCGTCGATCCCATTCTCCCAGCTACGTTTTCATTATGGGGTGGGGGAGGGTTGTTTAATATATTATTTATTTATATTATTTATTTTCTCTCTTTATGCATTTATCCGTTTTCATCTTCCCCTCTTTTGGTTGCACTGGTCTGCGTTTGGTTCATCAAAAATCTCTCCAAAGGGTTTCATTGCCTCTGTTCTTTTGTTGCCTTTCTGTGTTGTTTAGTTTGTAGTTTCTGAAGGAATAAACACAATTGCAGTGTAACACCTGCACGTGAGGTGCTGCTTTTTGCTTGGTTCAATCCCCATGTCACCATCCCTCTGGCAAACCTGTGACACCTGCACGGCTCTGGGCTGGGCAGGAACATGCCACCCATCCACATGGGCTTGGTTGGGTTTGGTGGCCCAACTACAGGTGGCTGGTTGGTAGAAATGGGGCTGGGCTTGGTCCTGGGGCAGAGCCTTTGGTCGAGGAGGGGGGTGTAAGCATGGATTAAAGTTTTTTTGGGGTGAGAACTCTTTGCTGGCAGTATCTGACAGGGTGAAGGCTACTGGGTGTCGCTTGGAGGTGTGTGGTCACCCCAGGGTGTGATGTGCTGGGGTCTGGGAAAAGGAACCTGGCTGGTGTGGAGGTGAGATGCTGGGTGGGTGCTGGGGCTCCTGCTGCACTTCTGCAAGCCGCCTGAACCTCTGCCTCTCATGGTGTGAATATTGCTTTGGGAAGGAGCTGAGGGCACATGTAGGCTTGTACTGTGACGCCCATAGTAAAGCAGCACAAAGAGGAGGAGCAGAGGTGAAGGCTCTGATGCTCTTGAAGCATCCTCCAGCCAAAACCCAGCTACCTCTGGGGAAGCCCCCACTCCATTATTCCTCCATAAATGCTGCCCTAAGCGTCACTTCACTGAATGCAGCTCTTCCTTTCAGGCCTTCTTGTCTTTGGTCATGCAGTAAAGCAGCGTGCGGTGGAAAGGTGGACGTCGGGTGGGAACAGAAACAGAGGGATAACTGCTTTGGGAAAGAGGTGAGAGGGTCCCTTGGTGTTTCCTTCTGGTGTTTTGTGTTTAGAAACAAGAGGTGGCTTTGGAAGGCTGTGGAGGTGCTGGGGCATGTAGTCTTCTGCAGGGTGGAGGACTGACATGCTGCTGGTGCTGTGGGCTTTGGGATGTGACAGCAGCAGTGCCCAGGCAAAGGGGCCCTGACCCATCAGGTGGTGGAAGGAAGCAGAGCAGGTGACGTTGAAAGGAGAACTGGGAAGAAGCCAGGTTTTCTGGCTTGTAACAACCCTTTTGTTTTCCTGAAAGAACTTGTTTTGTTTCACTGGAAGATTGAATATTGTCCCCAAGGGTGTCTTTCAGACTTGACGACAGAGCTGTGTTGGCCGGACCCGCCTGTCCCAGCTGCAGGACCATAGGATGGTGGATGTGAGCAGAGAGGGAGGGACGCATAGCAGGACATCTACCGTGAGAATAACCAGCCTCTTTGAGGATCTTCTTTTGAGCCTCCTGGAAAAGCAAGGCAGGTTTTGATTTTCTGATTGTTTTGTGCTTATGAAAACAGGTTTCTTGCCTTCCCCTTGATAGCCAGTGCTGAGTTACTGTTTTTTTTTCACTGCCATCTCTTTGTTACACCTGGGTGGGAAAGCAAACAGCTCAGTCCTGAACAGGAGATGAACACCATCCACTACTAACCTCTGTTCCTAGCGGTAACTGCTGTACTGCAGCACTTTATTTAGGGTACTTCTTACCCATAAACTCTCAGTGATGGGGAAAATGTTACTGTGCTGGTCTAGCAGGAGGCCTCTTCAGTTTTAATCAGTCCTACCTGCTGCTTTTTGGGATCTTGAATTGGGCAGGCTGCTCAGGTGGACTGAGATATTGCCATTAGTGATGCTGCAGAGATCTCAACACATGCAGCCTCCTGCATGGCTTGTGCCCCAGCTGCTGGACTCACTTGGTGAGAACGGATTAAAATCTGATTTGTGACAGCAGGCTGTGAGCTGCCCACCTTGGGGTTGGAACCCATGTCTAATCCCGACCTTGGGGCCAGCTGAGGTTGTGTGCCCAGCATGGACAGAGGGGCTGGATTCCTGCTTAATGCCCTCCTTCAGCTCCGCAGGGTGATGAGTAACGTCAGCAAATCAAGGAGCATGACCATGAAAGAGACACTGGCCTGAATTATAAGCTACTGTAAAGATGCCTTTATGTTGCCATCTGGAAGATGTTTCCTGAGACAAAGCAGCTTCAGTGTGGTAAAATCAAAAAGCAGTGTTTAGCATTTGTAATTCTGCCTCGGCTGTGCATCCAGTGATGGGCTGCATTGTCCTGGGACACATGGGTGACAAAGCACAGCATTGAGCAGAGCCTCTGCGGAGCGATGGGTCCGTGGTGGTGGCCACTGGGGCTCTGTGCAGGTGGCAGCAGTGGCAGCAATGGCAGCAGAGCACAACAAAGGCTACCTGAGGTGTCTGTTTTCCTTAAGATAAGAGAAGTTAAGAATGGGAAGAGTGAATGCGTCTGTTCTTTCAAGCGTCTCCAAGTGCTCCAAAATCTAAATGGGCCAAGCCTTCTTTTCAGGAGGGAAGTAGTTGATTTCCCATGAGAAAGATGGTGATACCAAGGCACTGAGATTTGGGTCCCTCTCATGATGGAAGCATGGAGGGATGGTGTAGAGGGAAGGCAACAAGCCTTTCTCAACATGCACTTGTCTTCCCTTGGCTGTGCTGTCATCATCCCCTGCTGCGCGCGAGTCCCTGGACATGGCATGACACAACTGCTGGCTTCAGGCTGAGCTCTGGCTGTGTGATGGCTTTTTTGGTTGCTGGTCCTTCTCTGTGGCTCTTTGGTTTGGGACCAGTGACCCTCTGTGAATGACATCATGGTGGCATAAAGAAGAAATGGACCCTAACGATGACTTGAAGACTGGAAGGGATTTGTCTTTTTTTTCCTCAGACTATCATCTTCTCTTTTTCTCTCAAGCTCAGTGTAACCCAAACACATTGCCATGGGCTTGAAGTGTGACAGCTTGCTTGTTGAAGGATGGTGCCTATGGGGGCTCAGGGCCTCCCTGCTGAGAAAGGGCAGGGATGGGGAGGAGGCCAGGTGTCCCTGGCTGTGCCTTGGGGTAGAAATGATGGCACCAAGGTCCCCTTCTGGGAAGGCTTTGCCAGCAGCCCCGTAACAAAAGCATCGGACAGGGTTTGCTGGGGATTTCTAGGTCTTTTAACAAAAATATCAAAAAATCTGTCTGTCTCTTTCTCTTTCTTTTCATGTTAAGGGCCAGAGTATGGGGGTAGGGAGACTGGAAATTTGGTATTTCTCTGGGACAGATGCAAAGCAATGAGGTCTTTCTTTCCCCACAGCCTTTGCTTGTGCTGTGGTTCCCTCCAGGACTCGTGAGGGGCAGGTTGCTATCTCAGAGGAGGAGTATTTTTTTTTTTTTTCCCCTTTTCATATTATAAAATACAAACAAATGACAGAAAAGGTCAGGTGGTGGGAAGGGAGTTCTGCTGGCTCAGAGCTGTAGGGACCGTCGCTTCCTCCCAGAGATGTTACGGTGGTTGTAAGGTCGCATCTTCATTTCCACAAAGGGGATGGAGAACTCGTGGCCTTTCCAATGGTACCAGTTAATTCCCTGGAAGGAGGAAGAAGTAAAGGGTAAAAGGTTAGGATGTGGGGTAAAAAAAGGCACGCACACACACACACACACAAAATGAAAGCGCGAGAGGAAGGAAATGAGCTTGGTTGCATAGAGAAACCAGAGGGAAAACCCAACTACAGGAAGAGCAAGAAACTCTTCTGCTGCACTGGCTTGCTTTTTTTTTTTTCCCACTGCCCAAAGGCTCCTGATGAGATTTGATGGATATATTTTGTAGTGTAACCTAAAAGAATGACATGGCAAATGACCAAGGCAGCCAATGTCAGCAACTCTGGTGCCATGACCATATGCAGCCCCAGCCCCAGCCTGAAGAAATGCTGAAGGGTCTCAGCCCAGCTCTGCCCTTACCTGACTGTGCCTGGACTCTCCATACTTGCCGTTGAGGTTGGTCCGGTGGCAGTTCTTATACCACCAAGCCCCCTTGTAGGACATGGCACAGTTGGTCACGGCCACGTCGTTGTCTCTGTCCTTGGTGGAGAAGGGGCGGCCCTGGTGGTAGGTGAGGGAGTCCCCTGTGGAAAGAGATGCTGTTAAGGGGGATGGACCAACAAACCTGCTTCTGGCTTGCGTGCCTCGATGTCCAAGCCATCTGGTCTTTCACGAGGAAATTCTGGTGTGTGTGGTAGCCTGTCAGTCAACAGCTCAAAGAGCTGAAGGCTGGTGGGATGGTGTGGGAATAGTATTAACTGGGATTGCTCATGGTGGGTTCATCTGAGGTCCTCTGCTGTTGGTTTTGGATCTGTAGGAAATCTTAGGGTTTGGAAGATAAAGTAGCAGTCTGTGTTTGAATCTGAATTTCAGTGTTTCAGAAGTGAGCTAAAGCCCTGATTTCTTGGAGTCTGGATCTGCTGTGTACCTTCAGGAATTTTCCTCCCTCCTTCCCTCTTGCTAACAAAAGGGGCTTTCCCATGCTAGAGGAAACCATTTTTCTCTTGAACCAAAATGCTTTCCCTCTGGATAAGAGGGAAAAATTGTCTTTCTGACCCTTTTGGAAGACATGTTATGTCTTATTCCACCAAACCCACCAGCCTGCTCTCCCCTCCCTACTAAGGGGAGAGAAACTCGCTTTGGAGGAAAGAAGAGTGTTGCACAAATGCAGCTGCAGAAATGGAAGGCAGAAAACTATGCAGTCTAGGACTGCTTTTTTTCCCAAACTATGGATTGAATGCTTTAAGCAGTATTGAAACACGCAAGAGTGTTCATGGAAGCTTGCAGTTACTGGACACTTCTACCCCAGCTAGAGGGGCTGTAGCTGTAACCCTACCCCCTTTTGGGGTAGAGACCCCTATATTCTCCTTCCTTCCTTACACGGTGGGCAAAGCTCAGTGCTGCTGTGTCAGTTGAGCCAACAGGTGTGTCCTTATGTGCAGCTTTGATGTTGGGATTTCCTTTACACCTTCAGACTGACCGGTCCCAGCATTTCTCTACTGCACCCGAGATGCCAGCTAGCCCTGAAGCTGTACCAGAAGTGCCATTGTAGTCTCCTATCCGCAGCTTGTAGAGGCTCCGGGAGTCGCCGATGGAGAATTTGTCATAGTAGGCATATGCTGCTTCCTGGCCATCCCTCATGTCTATGCGCAGCTCGTAGCGTCCCTGCGATGTGATCTTGTGGATGTTGTCCAAGCCTGGGGACACAAGCAACAAGACACTGAGTGAGTGCCTGGATCTGCTACGTCAGCCAACCAGAAAGCTCTGGGCAAGTAAAGTGTTTCTGGGAAATGAAAGCAAGACGAGGCAGTAGAAGGCAGCTTGTGGTTAAGCCTTATCTCTGCTGACATTGATGAGGTCTTAGCTTTCTGTTTCCACTCAAGCTTCACCTCCCCATGGCTCTGAGAGGTGAGTTTGAGTCCCAGACTCACGTTCTGAGCATCGCCAAAGCTGGGAATGATCATCTGTGGAGCTCTGGGTTGCACACCCATCACTGACTTCTGCAATTAAGCTGTTTATGAGTCAGAATATACTGCAGGGCTAGCATTGGTTCACACTTAGAGAATGCTCTATTTCAGAGCTTTGATAGGTCTACCCTCACCTCTTTCCTGCTTTGGGCAACTGGCTTGCTGGCTAAGGCCAGGAGATGTCCTTGAGAAGTTGTGCTGGTAACTGTATTCACCAACACCTCTAGTCATACAAGAGAAGACTCTGGTCCATGAAGGACCCCAGCCTTGGAGCAGCAAATGTGGGACCTTCACGGCATGCCTTTGTATCACCCAGAAGTGTGAATTTCGAATGCAAAGGGCAGAGAATGAACAAGGGAAGGAAAACAGTCTGGAGAGATTGCAGAGGAGAGGAGCTCAGGTTTGACACTTCAGTTCAAGACCAATGATGAAGGTCTTACCCAGCCAAAACTCATCCTCCAAGTTCCCAAAGCCGACCCGGTAATCTGCCCATTTTCGGAAGAAGTCGGTCAGCCCATTCTGCCGCCTTTGGAAGACCTGCAGTGGGGGAAACCAAGGGAAACTCTGTGAGAAGTGGGTTGACCTGGCCAGGCTTTAGGACACACGGCCAGGAGGATATTCTGCCCTGTCATAGTGCCTTTCAGTGAAGAAAATGGCAACGACCATCTGGTTAATGTTAATTGCAGCCGTGCCATTGGTTCAGGTACAGATGGATCAGCTGAATACAAGTTAAAAGATGTGGGAAGCAATGTTACAGTAGACCTAGGAGGAAAGATTCAGCCTTCAGACTTTATGCTGTACCCAGTGTGTGGTTTCTCCGGTTTTCTAGCACATGATTCTGTGTTTGCTTGGCTCTTTTGTGATACCCAACGGGATGCTTTGAAGCAGAGTGAGATGGAGGGAAAATTTTTGGCTGAAAATGTAGCTGTTCTAGAACTCAGCATTTAGGGAAAATCTTTTTTTTTTTTTTTTCCTTCTTCTTGTTTGGACTATACATCTATTGGGGTTTTATATAATACATGCAAGTGAGTATTTGAGACAAAAACAGTCCAAGTGCCAGAGCATTGTTTCCCTCAGTGACCGGTCCATCTAAGTAAAGACAAGTGGTGATGGTGCAATTCAATAGCAAAACAGGGATCTGCCTCTAAAATGCTCCAGTGCGGATTCAGTCTGGGTGATGCCTGACACCCTCCTATTGCAGGCAGTGTGAATCATTCCCTATGAAAGCTAGTAGACATTAATTTCATTTCTAGAACAATAAATCAGCTTCAAATTTACTTGCAGATTTTTTTCTCTGCAAAAGCACTGCAAACACGTCAAATAAATCAAAGGCCATTTCGCCAAGTGTAACTATTATTACTGGAGTGTGGGCCATTCCCTGTGGTGTGGGAAATGAGGCGAGCAATATTAAGCTGGCGTGGAGCTTGGTTTTGCTGGCAGGATGGGATGGGGTTCTTCAGCGATGGGGGCAACGTGCAGGGAGACTGCCATTGGGTTGTGTGGCTCAGGGGATTGCTGTCCCCTTGGGGAGGGCATCAATGCTATGGGGCTGCTCCGGGAGCTTTGTTGGGGTCAGGGGGTGCCACAGCAACTCACAATCCAGCCCCCGCCGTCCGTGCTCATGTCACAGAACACCTGCACCCGCTGGCTGAGGTCCCCGTTGATGGAGATGGTGTAGACACCGCTCAGCGTGTCTCCGTTCATCAAGTGCTGGGCACAGTCCTGAGGGTTGGTGAAGACACGGCCACCTACAAAAGAAAAAAAAAAAAGGATCAAAATTTGGGCAGGCAAACAACTTTTCCACGTGCCTCGGGCCCCGATGGTTACAGTCCAGCAAGGGTTTGGCTTTGTTTGTGTGTCCTGAGTTCTGCAAGGCAGAGGTGACTGTGCATCCGTTGACAGCATCATAGAATGCAGTGGAGTAAATCTGTGCACACATTAATGGATTTCCACACATCCTACATTGGAAAGATGCGTGGTAACATTGTGGTGAGTGATGAGGAATGTCACACCTTTGGTCGTCTTCCGTTTCTGAAACCCTGGGGTTTAAGCTGTCACTGGCATATTTGGACAGCTGTGAAAATGTTCTCCTCTTAGGATTGCCAACTCTAAGTAGATTTTATGACTTTACTGTTTCCAGGGGAGTTCTTCTGATCCGTGTCCTTGTATATGATGTCAGACTTGCGGTGGGCTGATGGTTGAGCAAATGGAGCAGGAATTGGGTCAGATGAGATGTTGGAGATGGGCAGGGTGAGGCCTGTGCCCGTGCTCCATGTGTCCTACAATGAAGACACCTCATTTGGAGGCTGGAGTTGGAGAGAGCCCCAACTATGAGACCTCAGCAGGAAGGGCCTCATTTTCTTTCTCATTTAGTGGAAGGGAGAATTGCATTTTTTCCCCCCATTGCTCAAATGACTGAGTCCAAAGCAGGCAAGGTGCACGTTGGCTTTCAAGAGTGGTTTGAACGAAGACCTTGAGAGAGTGTGAAGGATGTGCCATGTTCATCTATCCCTACTGCACAGCCCCATAGGAGTGGCAGGACAGAGAGTTTTCCTGTTGACCTGAAGACCCAAAATTGTCAAGTTGTCACTTTTTATAAATATTGAAGATCCCCTACTTCTTCCTCTCCCTGCAGAGCATAGCACAAGTTCTGGTGAGACAGTGTTTACATTTTATAGCATTCAACAATGTAAATTACTTCAAAGGCATCCACTCCGGGCTCCCCTGGGCTCTGTGCAGATTAGTTGTTTCTTAATTCATATTCATATCTTAAAGAACCAAGCAGACCTTGAAAGACATTTCAAACCACTATAAATTATAAATACCGTATCTGTTTCTTCCTTTTGTCCCATCTGTATACAACTCCCCGAGAACCTTATGCAAACATGAAACAAAGAGATGGAGCTATTAATATGTCAGAGGGAACGGAAGAACCCTGGGATATGTACTGAGAGCATAAAGAAGCAAAACATTTTAAATTAAGACTTTTTTTTTTTTTCTTCTTTTTCTTTCTCCTTTAGGTGGGGTAGGTTGGGAGAAATGTTTCCTGCTAATGCCTACCTTGAAGCGAGTTAAACTTCTGTTGAGATGCTGCATCAGCTGGCAATGGTGTTTAATGCAGTCAAGGAGCCACATTCTTGTTTAATTGAAGTGATGCTCTCATTGCCTGGTGTGAGTGGGTTTTCCCTGCATTCTCCTCTCTAAGAAGCTAGCTATGAGATGCTTTGTCCCTGACTCCTGAGCAACCTTGAAGATTGCACACGTTTTTTCATCACCTGCTGGAATTGCACTGACATAATGCATCCACATAAGAGATGAGAAAAACTAGAGTACCTCGAAAAAAAATTTTTTAAAAAAAAGCCTTTTCTTTTTCCATCATCTTTGCCTGGGCCTATCAGGCGTGGGTCCTCACCCGTGGTGAAGGTGGTGGAGATGAAGCCGCTCCGCACGGCGTTTTGGGCAGCCTGCAGGCGCACTGTGTACTCGGTGGTCTCAGAAAGACCCTCCAGGCGGATCCACGTGTCCTCAGCATCCACAATCAGCTCCTGTACATTGGTAGAACATCAAGAGCAAGAGATGAGAAAAACGATGGGGAGCCTAAAGAGCAAGCAAGGAAGGAAGGGGAGCCACACACTACTGCAGCCCTTGGCTGAGGGTGCTGCATGGCTGCTTACAGCTCTGGGCTATCTGTGTGCTCTATTTACTGACACTGCTAGGATCTGCACACCTTCAGAGTGGGGCATGACAGATTTCCTGAGCTTTGCAAAAGGAGCAGGGCTGGCCAAGCCTGGTTATCAGGCAGCTTTGGCTCCATCAATCCCTGTCATGTTAATTTTTCTGGTCATCAGCCAATGCCACAGAGCATTACGTTGAACACCTCTGCAAAGCTGTTATCCTCTGGCTGCTGCAAGCTACCTGCACCAGGAAATGAGATGATTTGCAGTGACATACTTCTGATAGTGTTTGTAGCATTTCCTCCAGACAGACAGATATGGACACACTCGTTAAATAATCAAATATATTGTACTGAGGGATTTATTAGCTGTCTGTACCTACCTTCCTCTTTGCAGGGAGGGCAAATCACCTTTCTAACATTTCCACTTGCTAGAAATTTTTCTTCTGCCTCAACTTGCTTGTGTTTCACGAGTTGTGAATTTTGTCTGTTCCTTCAGACTTCCCCAGGCATACTCTCTTTACCCAAACTTGCAGATTTTCCCTAGGCAATCCTTTTCTGCTTTTCCCAATTGTTTATCTAAGGTAAGTTTACCGGAGAGTGTAATACGCCCTTCTGGTTTCCCTGGCCTAATGAGTATAATTCTATTGGTTTTATGGGTTTCTTCTGCTCATTCCTCCATGGTTGAGCTCAATGAGCCTCTTTTCCCGTGAGGACTCACCTTGCGACTTCCATCAGTTGATCTGTAGGTCAGGACGTAGTTCTCGATGTCTCCCACGGGAGGCACCCAGGAGAGCAGTGCACTCCGTCGGGTGACCTCGCTTGCAGTCAGGTTTGTTGGAGGATCCAAAACTGCAGGTTGGATAGGCACAAGGGAAGGGCATGTCCTCACACACAACCACCCCACCTTCTCTAAGCTGCTCCCTGACAAGCTGGACTAGTATCCAATCCCACAACCCTGTGCTGCAGCCCAAAGTCCATCCTTATCCCCAGTTTCCAGCTCTGATTACCTGTCCCCAGCCTTGAAAAGAGCTATGCAAGCCCTCTAAGTGCCCTTCAATGCATGCTCTCTGGAACGCATGTGGTATGGAGTCTATCACACTTCTTGGAATCACAGAATCATGGGGTTTAAAGGGACCACTGGAGGTCATCTAGTCCAACCCCGTGCTAAAGCAGGTTCCCTACAGTAGGTAACCCAGGAAAGTGTCCAGGAAGGTTTGAGTATCTCCAGAGAAGGAGACTCCACAATTCACTTTGGTGGCCCCTTCCAGAGCCAGACTATGGCTCTGGGAAAGAAGACCTGGTCAAGGATCTTCTCAGGAAATCGAATCCAAGGGGAATCAAAGAAAGATGTCATTGATTGTTGGAAGAGTGAAAATGATGGTTAATATGGTAGTAGTGGTAATCCTGTCCTCATGTTGTGCCTAGCGCTGGTATTTGGGTGTCTTTTTAGCACATGGCCACATCTACATTGACATGTTTGGAACAAGAGCTTAGCATCAGCCTTTCTATCTTTTCCTGGGGTGGATGGCTGGTTAGGGGTGTGTAGGAGCGGGACTGTACGTACGGGTTGTGAAGTTGGTGCTGATGGTCTGGCTGGTGAGGGGCCCATTGGTGGCATACATGGCAACCGCGTAGGTGGTGCTGGGCTGAAGGCTGGTCAGCTGGTATTCCTGGTTGATTCCATCCACCAGAATTGTTTCTCCTGCAACTGTAAGCCAAAAGATGAGTTAGGGTAGATGCTATGAGGCTGGGTAGTGGTACATGCCGTGGGGCCCATGGGATGAGCCAGTGCCTGAGGATGGGGTACATCTCCACCACCCACCAGCTACTGCCCTCCCAAGGCACAGGCTCCTTTACTGCTCCCTCCATGAAAGAAAACAACCAAGATCCCAGTTTTGGGGTGGGGGAGAGGTGGAGGCGAGCTGAGATGGAGCCCTAGCAAATCTTGCAGCAGAGGGGTGCGGGGTTTCAGCACACCTGCGTGGCGGGTGAGGACGAGGACATAGCTCTCCACATCCATCAGCGGCGGGTTCCACTGCAGCAGTGCCTCTGTGGGGGTGATGTTGGTGGCGGTGACACCCAGCGGGGCATCCATGGCTGCACAGGGGACAGATTTGGAGGGTCAGGTGCATTAAGGGACTCTGGACTAGGAGCTGGAAGAGCTTCCTGTGGCCCTGCCTCTCTTTCCAGGCATGTATTTACCTACAGAGGAGATATTGCTGCCCTAGTTGGAGAGCAGCATGTTGTAGCTTGTACTGCTCCACTGTCTGGGTTTGCCTTCCACTGTTTGCCTGATACACAGTCTGGGGAGCTAAGGTTTTTTAGGTATTGAGAAGTCTGGGGATAGCAGAGGGTTTTATTCTTGCAACAGATGCTGTTTGTTTCAGGGCTTTGACACATATTTCCCTAGGGATTATTTTTGGAAGCCTGTACTTCCTTTAGGAAAGGTTGTTATGGTTGCCCAGCATCACATCTCTGCCCTCCCTGTGACTGGTACACAGATTTGTCACTCCCTCCATGACAAGCCGTGCATATACAGGAAAAGCTTTGCTTAGACATACTTTGAAAGTCCCCAGTGGATCCTTGTGAGTCTCACTCATCGTCTCAAGCTCACCTCAGGATGCCATTAGGTTCAGCTTGCTCTTGGCTGTCTGATTGCCAGAAATAGTATGGACTGCCAGCCCTTCCCCAAGACAGGACATGGCCCCGTTGATCACTGCCTGCCACTGGGAGCCCTTTCCCACCTGTGTATGTGGTGATGGAGGCCACCTCACTCTCCTCCCGGCCCCGCACACTCTTCACTCCAATCTCGTACTTGGTGGCAGGCTGCAGAAGGCGGATGCTGTACTCGGTGGCATCGCTGCCAATGGCCGTGCTGTCTGTCCTCCCTGCAAGGACAGAGCCAAGAGCTTTAGTGACATGTCTGGCCCTGACCCTAGGTGCAGAGTTTGCCCAGGAAGGGAAGGCAATGCCAGAGGGCTGATGCTGGGAACAAATGTGTTCTATGCCCACGTGTTGACGCTCATGTGCCCATCGTTCTACTGACTTGGCCTTTCCAGCATGATAGACAAAAACTGGGCTCAAGGCTTGGAGAGGAGGGTGTAGGAGGAGAGCAGGGCTTGCTGTGCTGGTTGTGGTTTGGGTCATGCAGTGATGTGGGATTGACCTCTGCCCCTGTTCCCCAACCCCAGTAGCTGCTCTTGCATCACATTTTCCAAAAGAGAAAAGAAAAGTAAGAGCAAAATGGGCTGAAGCTGCTGGGAAAATGTTGAAGTCCTTCACTTAACTTAGGACCAGCTCCACACATACCCTGGGGTACAGCATAGCACCCTGCACAATGTCTGACCCCTTACCTTCAGCAGCACGGTAGGATATTCTGTAGTGATCAAAGGGAGCAACAGGAGGGCTCCAATAGATGACCATGGAGTCCTGGGTGATGTTACCCACTCTGAGGTCCTTTGGTGCATCCATCCCTGGTGAGATGGAGCAGAAAGCACAGCTGTGGGAGGCAGGTCCACACTCCTTCCCTCCACCCACCTTCTTGGTAGTGTCTCACATCCTGTACCTGTCGTGATGGAACCTGTGACGGGCTCAGAGCTGACTGCACCATGGACAGCCACTAGGGACACCAGGTACTCGGTGGATGGCCGCAGACCCGTCAGGCTGGCATGCCTGCGGGTGCCATCAAGTGCCAGCTGCTGTGCTGCCTCCTCGTCCCGGGGGCTGTAGGTGAGGACCAGGTGGTCTGCAGGGGGGGATGGATCACTCCACGTGATGTTCACACTTGAGGATGTCAGCTGGGAGAAGTGCAGCTGCGTGATGGGCCGGACCCCTGAAAGCCATAGAGGGGAGATGCAGCCCCCCGCAGTCTGCAGCTCCCAACCTCTTGCTCGTACCCAGCATTGTGCATTGGTGCCCATAGGGGATATAAGGGAGGTTGCAAAGCCCCACATGCGGGTGCTCCAGTGGTCTGAATCTCTGCTGGGATCAAGAGGCAGAACAGGAAAGGGGAAATGGTGTTTTCCTCAGTTCTGACTACAAGCATGTTCAATCCCAGCCCCATACGATGGGTGGAGGGGACAATCTGATACAATTTGGATGAGCTGTCTGTGCTTCTCAACCATGATTTTTTTTCATCCCAGAGGTTCTTCTGAGGCCCCTCAAGGCCTGGATTCTCCTTTCTGCCAACTCAGAGCAAAGGGGACCATGTGTTTTCCTACAGAGGCTTCCCTACCTCATCCTTATGGAAGTCATCCAAGCAAACGTGTTCAGTGCCACTATCCAGAGGGGCAGGACCCCTGCACCGGTAGGGCCATCACCTTTCTCAGGTCCATGGACCTGCTCTGATGTGGATGGATTGCCCTCAAGCTCTCATCTCCATCCCCGTCTCACGAGTTTTGGTGCTGGGGAATTGGTAATGGGGTAGTGCCCTGTGCTTGGTCCCATCTCCACTTGGTTCTCTTTACCTGTGAAAGCGTCCACGGTGGCCTCCAGGCTCTGCTGACGTCCCCTCTCAGCAATGATGGAGATGGTATACTCTGTCCCTGGCTCCAGCTCAGAGAGAGTGAGCTGCGACTCGTCACGGGACACCGTCACCTCAGAGGCCATCCCCGAGGCAGGGGTGAAGGTGACACGGTAGTGGTCAATGGGACCCATGGCTTTGGTCCAGGACAGTGAGATGGATGTCTCCGTGGAAGCTGTCACCATGAGGTCCCGGGGGCTATCAAGCTCTGTGGGTTGAATATTACAGATATTTGTTCCCATGCATGGTTTGTCCCATGGAGGTTGTAGGAGCTGGAGGGCCATAAGATCTGGCTGTGTTTGGAGGCCAAAAGCAATGGGGCTAGACTCACCGGTCCTGGCATTCATGGTCGCTGGCACGCTCTGCTGGCTGTCCATCACGGCTGAAATCCCAATGCCATATTCTGTCCCTGGCACCAGATCTGCAAGATTGAGTAAAGGACAGAGAGGTGCATGAGAGCAGCATCCAACTTGGTGGTCTTGGAGAGTGACCCCCACCACGGCTGGAGGTAAAGGGACACTCCTGAGTGCCTCTAGAATTACCAACCCTCCCACAGCTCAGCCACTCCTCCCGGTGCTGTAGAAAGCCTTTTGAAAAAGCCCCCAAATGCCTTTGGACAAAGAAATGGGATTAGTCTAGCTCAGAAATAACCAGTTTTTAAAAGCTGTTACTGAGGTCTGCTGTAATTGCTGGCATCAAGACAGAAATTGCGTGTGAGCGAGAGGGAACAAAATGAGATGGGAATGATAAAGTAGCTGTGTTTGTTTCCAAAATGATTCAGCTTCAAATATTGTCACAGGGTTGGTGTCTCGAAAAGAAGTAAATTATGCAGAGTAAATGAAATGGACATTAATTAGTAAACATACAGCCTAGCTGGGAGCCAACTCAAGCATGTTCCTTGAGGAGGATGTGTCCTGTGGTTCCTCTCACCTGGGGAATGGGAAATGAGCTAATCGAGCTCATTTTGGCTGTGCCTATTGCTGGTGGCTGCTCTATCTCCATGGAACATCTCCTGGGTCTGTCATTCCTGCTTGGCCTTTGACAGCTTCATTTCTCTCCTCCTCATGCTCTGTTGATCTTTCCCATTGGGTCAGAGAAAGCTGTAAGCCCTGCAGCCCAACCTCTTCTCTCCCATCTCTTGGATAGGGAAAAATCACCAATATTTCTGACAGCTCTGCGAATTCTCATCTTTGAAAAGAGAACTCTGGGGCAGGGCAAGATTTGCTGTATTTTTAAGCTTAAATATTCAATAAGCTCTGTTCAGCACCTTTCCTCAACACTTTTCTCAGGGACAGATGAAGGCTTTTATGCCATGGACCCCACCAAGTCCTCAGTAGCTGGAAATTTGCCCCAACACTCTGCACCATGGGTGATGAAGCCCTGGAGGAGAAGGCTACAGTGTTTGTGACAAAGATAGAGAGAGGCTGTTTGCAGCTGCTTGCCATCAGCAAAGGCTGTCCTCTCATCTGTCCCCTCCATATCATCCCAAAAGGCAGCAAATGTCCTAGAGGACAGGAGGCCAGCACCAGAACCCCTGTCTCCTGCTGTCCTCATCCATCTCCGTCCCATTTCTCCACTCATGAGTGCAGCAGAAACTATCCCTACTACCTTCTTTCTTACATACCACATTTTTCAAGCTAACTGCTCTAAATGTTTTCCTGCCCTCCAGCCTTTCTCATGACTCAGTGCTGCTGTGCCTATAACTTTGCATTAGACTTTTCCACTGAACATGTTTGTTCCTATAGGTCCATATGGCAGAGTTGTCTGAGCCTGACACAACACAGGAGAACCTGGTGCCGTGCCATACTGAAGATCTAGATAAGTCTCAAGCTCAACGAATTATATTTTTTTGGTATATAAATGTTGGGGTTTTTACCCCCAAAAGGCCACCTGAGCTGCAGATCTGGCAGGAAACCAGCTGCAGCTGAAAAGGGAAAATAAATCTTGGATGGCTCTTCGTGGTGCTAATACAAAGTGTGTTTGGGGACATTCCTGGTGAGGCTGACAGTGGGATGTCGTGGTGCTTGCAGAGCATGGTGGCACCCATATGCCAGCCTGGACCACACAATGCTGGAGGGGACTTGCTTGGAATTGTCATCCCTGGTTTTAGGTTTACTTTGTGCTGATGAGGAAAAAGAGAAAGAACTTGGGTAGGCCAGCCAATGGAGCATCAGTATCCCAACAGGGAGGAAAAAAGTAAAAAGAAAAGTAGTGTTTTTCTCTAGATCAACCTAAAGTATCTTCCTCTCCCCAGTTCTCACTCCAGCCCTTGCTTGCTCTTCTTTGGACCCTTGGGGCAGCCTCACCAAAGGACATCACTTGGCTCCTAGCAGAGTATCACCCAGACTCACAGAAGGAGCACCAGGGCAAGCTGATTTGGACTTGCAAGGAGAATGGGGATGAGTGATGGTAAAGATGAAGATGATGAGGATGAGGATGAAGGTAGTGCAGGCATACCTGCAAGAGTGGCCCGGGTGGTGGGGCCAGTGTCCCGTGGCACCAGAACCTCGTGGTAGTGCTCTCCAGCCAGGGTGCTGTAGACCACCCTATAGCTGTGTGCCTCTGCCTCGCTGTTGTCCCAGGTGAGCTCGAGGCTGGCAGGGGTCCGTGAGCCCACCCGTAGGTTCTTGGGTGCATCGATCTCTGTGCAACACAAGGAAGAAAGGCATCGTCTCTCTACGGTTGAACTAGATCTCAGAGGTCCTTTCCAGCCTTAATGATTCTATGGCTCTGTGTTCTTGCCAAGGGGCTCTGGGAGCTGTGGCATGGCTGAGAATTGGGGAGGGCACACAGGTGGCACATCCCCGTGGCTGGGATATCTGCTCTCGCCCCCTGCTCAGCACAGACCTGGAGGTGCCACTCATGGATTCATCAAGACCAGTGCTCTAAAGCCATCAAGCACTGGCCTGAACTTCTCCTAGAAGACCTCGAGCATCTCTACAGATTCATTCATGCTCAGACACTGTCCAGACTAATCAAATGTTTTATTAGTGCTGCAGAGGCTGCATGCCAGACCTGCTCGGATCTGTACCATAGCTGTCTGCGAGGAGTGGGTTTGGGCAGGCAGGATCTGGCTGCACAGGAGGTAGGCATTAATTCCTGCTCTGGGTCTGGGCTTAGGAGGGATTTTTATGTTGTCTTTTAGAAATAGAGCAAAGAAGGCCAACTCAGCAAATCAATTGCAATGAACATCTCATTCTTATATATATATATCTGCATAGATATATACACACAATTCACACGCTGTGGTTATTGTAAAAGGAGCCTAGTATCCACCAGTAATGTACATGACAAGTAATTTATATACCATAAAACAGCACTGATATACACTCTCTACCTACTCCTTTATGGCACGGTAAATTAAACCCGTTAGCTATCTGCAGGCTTAACATTAATTAAAATTTTACTGACCTGTTAGACTATTCATATAAGATATAAAATAAGATATCCATGTTTTTAACTGGGCTGCTTCCAGCTGCCTGATTGCTGATTTTTCAGGCACTGTGCCTGCCTCAGCTCTCAGTGCTGAGCAAGTATGGGAGCACTGTCTTGAACTCAGACCTCCCTGATGCACACCGGTCTGTGGGTGGCATTAAGGGTGAAAATTGCTGTTTTGGGGGTGGAATTGTTTAACTTAGAGAAGAGGAGGATGAAAGGAGATCCTATCACCCTCTACAACAACCTGACGAGAGATTGGTTGGATGGAGCCCTGGGTAACTGATTTAATGGTTGGTAGCCCTAGAACTAGATGATTTTTGTGGTCCCTTCCAACCCAAGCAATTCTGCCATTCTACGATGATTGCGGTGAAGTGGGCGTTCATCTCTTTTCTTGGGTGACAATTGGTAGGACAGGAAGAAATGGCCTCGAGTTGCACCAGGGAAGGTTTAGGCTGGGCATTAGGAACAATTTCTTCACAGGGAGGGTAGGCAGGGATTAGAACAAGCTTCCCACGTGAGTGGGGGAGTCTCCATCCCTGGAGATACTCAAGAGACGTGAGAACACGGTGCTAAGGAACACGTGTCAGCGTAGGGCACTCAGTAGATCAAGTTGATGGCCGGACCCGATCTTTCTTGAAGCACTTTCCCACCCACCCACCACACCACTCTGCAGCATTCAGCCCCCTCGCCGGCTCCTCCAGCTACCTGTGGTGAATTGAGTGAGGGCCGGCTGGCTCTCGTTGGCACCCCGGAGGGCGCTGACAGCGAGGTGGTAGCGGGCGCCGGGCCGCAGGGCCTGCAGGGAGTACTGGCTGAGGGGGGGCTGCAGGCGGAAGGTGGTCTTCCCGCCCTCCCCGTCCGCCAGCCCGTACTTCAGCAGGATGGCGTCCACCCGGGCGCGAGGCGGGGTCCACTCCACAAAGGCCACCGTGTCGGAGATGTCCCGCACCAGGATCTGCGTCGGGCCGTCGATGACTGCAAAGGGTGGGGGAAAGGAGGGGTGGTTAATGGGGGAGACTTGGATGGGGAAGGGCAGCAGGTATGGGGACATCGAGCTGCCACTCGGCCTTCGGAGCGGCGTGAGTTAGAGGTGGCATGGGCACGAGGCTCAACTCTTCCAACCTAAAGAGACCGAGCTCACAGGGCTTGGTCATGGTGAGTTCCAGTGCCTTATTCCAGACCCTCCGCTTTCCTGACATCTCTCTTGAGCAGAGCATTTCAGATACATGCCAGTTACAGATAGAATGCAACTTCTGCCCTTCTCAAGCTGAGCGTTGACAATTCCTCTCTGTCTTATTCAGGAGTCATCTCCCAGAATAAAACCTCCTACATTTCTCTCCGGTCCGTTTTCTTTGCTCCTAGATAACTGCTCATACTTGGTGATGCATAGAAAAATGCAGTTTTCCTTTGTGCCTGGCTCTTCAAGCCGTTCAAAATGCTTTTATCGATGATCTCCTTCTTTCCACTCAATTTACTCTTTTACAAGCCTTTCTATCGTTGGCAAAATTTATCAGCAATGATACTTTGTCTATTATGGCTCTTGAAAGGTGTTGACAATGTGTTACATAACACAGGGCCAAGGACTGATTCAACCATCAAGAGCTGGAGAAAGTCTCTAGACATGTTCCAGCATCAGTGCCAGCTCCTGCTTTGTAGCTAAGCTGCAGGATCAGCTCTTGGAGCTGCTGACTGTTAGTGCTGGGGGGGGAGGGGAAAATGCAACTGCTCTGATGAGGCTTCATAACTAGCTGGGAGCAGGGCTATGGAGGGTGTTCACCACCAAACACCCTTAGATAAAGGGGTTTTAGCTAAAGCATTCATATCGAGCATCTCCTGAGAGGCTGTTTAGGACATTTTTGCTCTATTTTGCAGAGAATTGGGCTCGTTCTTCCTCTGCATCCTCCAGCACTTGGTCAAGGGAAATCACATGCTCAGCCCAAGTGAGGGATGCTTTAAGTCCAGCAGGACCATCAGCATGGACAGAGGGTACTGTGCCAGGGCACTGCTGATGCACTGGCTGCCTGTTTTATCTCTTCTGTGACCAAAAGGTGGTGAAAAAAACACATCAGTCTGTCTTGTAGTTTGAGCTGTGCTGCATATGTCCTTTACACTATATATATTGGAAATGTCGTGGTGTAATAAGGATGTGCTGAATGCTGTGCCTCGGGGTGGGAAATCCTGGGGGCTATGTGCAGGGGTGGGAAGGGTTGAAGGAGCTTAGAATAGACATGTGGGGGAACTGGGAGTAGTGGGATGAAGTCTGGGGACAAAACAGCAACAGAGGAGGAAGGATGGCTGGGAAGCAGGGTTTTTAGGTTGAAGGTAAGGAATGTCCAGATTGGCCAAGGCTCATCCAAACCATGCATCTCATGTTGGTGGTGGAGAGCACAGCCCTGCTGTGCTCCTTTGCTAAAGTCAACCGCTTAGTTTGATGTGCCAGCCTCTTTTTTTTATTATTTTTTTCCCTGTATCTTCCTAGGAAAAGGGAAAGGTTTGCCTTGACCAGGAGATGTCTCTGTTAAGCCGTGTCAAGCGGAGCAGGACTGTACTGAGCAAGCTCAGATCTGCAGCCAGAGAGGGGCTGTGTGATGGAGGGACCATCCCTGCACCACCCCTTCCTCTCCAAAGCCCCAGATTAGCATCTCCCCATGCTCTGCCCAGCACCATATCCTCTTGGCGAGGAGGGGACTGTGTTCTTCCACACATGCTGAATTTCATAGAGCTGCTTCTGGCTCCCTGCCCCGCTGCCTGATTTGCCTGAATGGGTGGGAGGACAGGGTGTTTGGCTGCACAAAAGCAGGTAGGAGCTTTAATATGGAGGAGATGAATAGGCAGTGCACTTTTAGAGTTGTTTCTTGGGCACGTCTAGACTCCCAAATGTGCCTGGGGTGAGATTAACAGAGAAGAGGAATTCATGCAGCTACACTGTGCAAGCTGACCAGAGCCGTGACTCCCAACCCCATTAAACACACCACGCTTTCTGTGCTCGCAGCAATTTGGGAGGGAGAGGGACAAAGTGTTGCGTGAAAACCTATTGCTGCAATGCACCTGTAGCATTTGGGTTGTGCTAAGCATTCAGATTCAGAATACTGATTGAAGAAAACCACTTTCGTGTATCTGATGCCCCAGTGCCTGACTCGGGCAGTTTTCTGACCCCAGCAGATGTTGTTTTTGGAGCTGATTTTGCAATGGGGTGCTGAGGTTCTTGGGATGCACTGCCCGGTGCCGGGCTCACTCACGGGTGGAGATGCTGTCAGAGGCCGGGGGGCTCCTGGCTTGGTCCTTCAGAGCCACCACGGTGACGGTGTACTCCTCTCCTGGCTTCAGCCCCGTCTGGTTGAAGGTGGTGACGGTGCTGGGGAGCTGGGCAATCACACCACCCTCATTGTTCTGCCGGGGACGGGGGGAGAAAAGGCAACAGGAAAGAGGAAGGGGTTTAAAAACAACAGAAAAAGCTTTATTCTCAGGGAGTACAGGCACTGACGTGTGGCAAGGTGATGACCCAGCCATGCACCCCCAGATCACGTCCTCACCCCAGTACGCCTCATCATGGAGATGCAGGAGCCTGGGGCAAAGTCACCCACCAGCTGTGGAGCACCTGAGCTGTAGAGCTGGAAAATGCTCCCACCCCCTCTCTTGCCTCATACCTTGTTGTATTTTGCCATCTGAATATTCCCCAGAACATAAAAGATAAAACCAAAGCCTCCTTTTCCTGCATGGCTTCTACCCAGGTGCCGGGAGCTATGTTTCATGCAGGGGTGAAACCATGTGTATTTATTTTGGAATCCCCCCCTTTTAAAATATCTTGATTGAATTCATTATACTTTCTGTTTTGTGCTCTGAAAAACACATAAGTCTTTTAAGCAACTGCAAATGTCACCTTCCCTGCCAGTGTTTGGACAATGGATCTTTTCTTGCTGCTGTCTTTACTAATAACACACTAAACAAATCTGTGCACATAGCTCTCAATCCATATTCATCTCTTTTCCTCATTAAACAGGAAATCTTCCATTTTATCCATAAATTGCCATCTCGCCTTACCTAATTTTCTTTTCTATGTCTGTTATCACTCCAGCCTTTCACTGATTGCCTCTCTGAGCCTCTCTCATTGCCCCAAATACCCCTGCATTTCTTCATCCTTTTCTTTTTTTGCCCCCCAGCATGAGCAGATGTGCAATAACTCTCCCAATCCTGCATCTAGGGACAGTTTGGGGTGTGGAGGGTGGCTTGCACAGAGGGAAGGCGTGCACTCCCCCTGGGGACACTGAGGACAAAATTAGTGTCCCCACACCCAGCTTTTGGAAAGGCAGTTTGACCTGAATTTGCAAGCCTACAGAACAGGGGCTATTTGCAATAGGGCTGCTTTAACACTATATTTTTTTTCTTTTTTCACATCGCTGCCTCTTGGGTTTTGCTTTAAGTTGGGGTGCAGCAATGGTTTTGCGCCTCTGTCAGAGCAAACCATGACCTCAGCTTCCAGGCAGCCAGGGAGACAGCACCCTCTGTCTTGTTTCAGGGGAAAAGCTGATAACGTAGACTTGAGAAAGCCCAATTTTGGCAGCAGGAGCACAACTGCATCTTCACAATGCAAAACCTCATGCTTGATGGACGGTACTAAAATGAAAGCCCTATGAGCTGCAACCATTCCCATCCTTGACAGCCTGCCCAAGGAACAGCTTTCCTTTTGTACTTTATCTCTCTGTTTCATTCCCAACATGTTTCTTGCTGGTTTTAAGCTTAAAAAAGAGAAATGGGAGCCAATGGCTTGCTTCAGTGGTCTGGCTTGAGGAAAACCTATTGCTGATGTCCTTGTAGGAGAGACATCTGCAAACATCCCACGAACTCCTCACCCCAAAACACGCCTATACCCATTTATCTGCTTCAGGGAGGATGTTGCTGAGATTAATTCATGAGTATCGATGAAATGTTTGAATGATGCATGATTTGTTTGCCATTAGACTCCAAGCTCCAGTGGTATTTTCCTGGCATTGCCCTATTTTGTGGCATAAGGTTGGAACTACATCATCTTTAAAGTCCCTTCCAACCTAAGCCATGATTCTATTACTCTATTTCATCCTGAAATACAACATTCTTGTATTCCATCCTGGCGCCCTTGGTTTTGTAACTGCAGTACCCAAACTTTGGCTTCTGACACCATCTGTGGATCAAAAATTGCACCAAGATGCTCCGAACCCTTTTTGGAAGTGAGGAATGAGTTATCTCTGGCTCCCGGGCCCCTGTTTTGTGCTGTGTCTCATGACACTCTGCAATTGAGAGCTGTTAAAACTTTGGGGCCAACTTCTGCTGTTCCTACTGCCCAGAGCTGCCTGACTCCAGAGAGGATTTTGTGCAAGGCAAAATGGCATAATTGTGCCCTTAATCAGCATTTCTTTTACTGCTGGGGATTGAAAGCCTCTTGTAAAGAGGCTCCATATACAATTGAAGCTATACTTATGGCTAAATGGTGTAGAAATTATGAATATAGATGAAATACTTGATGTACAATTTTTGTTACTGCGTATGGAAAATAGGCGATATTTAGGGCAACACTTTCATCATTTTCATCTTTCCTGGCACCAGTTCTACCTGTTCATCACTGCAATTAAAATGCCATAGCAGGAACTATCTGGGCACGTGGCTGGGGATACTGGAGCCCTGACAGCCTACGGCTGGTCATTGAGATCTAGGGTGTACCCTACGATGCTGTGCTGTGAGGTAGCATTACCTTGGGGATGAAGCTGATCTCCCAGCCATCGAAAGGGAAGGAGAAGGGCTCCCACTGCACCTCCACGGTTGTCTCTGTGATGGTCTTGAACTTCAGCCCCTGCGGCGTGGCCAAGTCTAGAATGGACCAGGAGGTTGTGAGGGCTGGGTTGACCTCCTTGCAGCTATTTTGTTATTGGGGTGATGGAAATGGGCCCTGTTGGTATCTCTAAGTAGCATCATTGTCCTTTTGGGCTGGAGGGAGAGGAAGGGGATGCCCCCCACTGTGGCATCCCACTGCCAACAGTGTGAGCGATGGGGTTACGAAAGTGGTACTGGCATGATTTGTTTTTCCCCCATTCACTCTGCCTTTAATTTCCCAAGGATACTTTCTGGAAGCTGCTGTCACAGCCTGCTGTTCCTTTTTTCCTCTGGCACTAAGAACCTCATGATGCACAGCAACATCCCCTCTTGCTGTGCTATTAGCTATGTTGTAGGGATTTGCCTTAGGGAGCCCATCCAGAAAAAGGAGGAGAACCTGTGACTTGTATGGTATATCACAAAAATATGCGATATTTTGGGCCGTGTCTGGGGGCTTCAAGCAAGCACTGAAATTTTCCTTGATTGTCAGCCATTCGGGTTTCCATCCCAAACAGAGACTTCCTGCAGAGAGTGGTGGCATTTCCACCTTTCCTTTATCTCCGTGCAGATATACATATGGGTAAACAAATCTCCACTATTTTTTTCTGAAGGCTCCATTTTCTGCTGCTGGAAGGTCTTTACAGAAAATGTGAGCTACTTTGAGAAAGCTGCAAGACACCAGGGCAAGACTGTGTATTATGTCAAGAATGCCATCATAGGATAGGTCAAATATCAGATGGATGCACCTTTACAGGCTGCTATTTGCATTCCTCATTATATGGGCCAGTGCTGTCTTCTGCAGCTATCTGATGAGCATCACCTCTGGTTTTTGGGGTACCAAGTGACAAGTACAGGCAGATACTTACTGGTCATCACCTTGGTGGTGACAGGGCTGCTCAAGACATCGCTGATGACTGCGTAGATGCTGATGTTGTAGGCAACGCCTGGCTCCAGCTCTGTGATGGTGATGGTGCTCCAGTCCCCAGGCACCCGCTGCTGGAGCTGGGATCCCCCTGGCCCCGCTGGCTGGTATGATACCACGTACTCAGTGGCTGCCCCAGGGCTGTCCCATGCCAGCTCAATGGAGCCATCGCTGACCCCTGTCACACGCAGGTTTTCAGGAGGAGCGACTGATGGGAAAAGAGATGGAGAGCATCAGGACATGCATGGCTTATCCTCTGGCCATGTGTGAGGGAGTGTGGGTCTGCTGGTTGGATATGGGTAAGGGCTCTTGGTTGGGGGTCATGCGCTCACACGTTTTATTGCAAGGCAAAGGCTCAGGAGAACCTGCTTGTACTGCTGCTGTAGAAGTGGTTCACCAACAATATTTGGACAAAACTCAATGGCTTTTTGCTTGCCTCCCAAACCCTTATGCATCTCTGGGGGATGGGAACAACAGGCAGACAGTCAAACTATGGGATGTGAGCAAAAAGTGCTCTGCCAGCTATGGGCTCCTCCCATGCTATGTGGTGCTCCTGTGGGACTCTGGGAACTTTGTGTCCCTTCCTCACGCAATCAGGTCTGACTCCCCCCACACACCCCTGCTACCTGCCGAGCAGTCCTGCCCTCCGTAGCCGTCCTCGCAGACGCAGAGGCCATCCTGGCAGACGCCTCGTCCACTGCAGGCGTTGGGACACCGCAGCCACCCGCAGTCCTCCCCAGCATAGCCCTCGGCGCACACGCAGGTGCCGTTGTCACAGTGTCCCCTTCCCGAGCAATCGCGGGGGCAGCGGGGCTGAGAGCAGTCATCCCCACCGAAGCCCTCCTCGCAGATGCATTCTCCATCCACGCAGAGCCCACGGGAGCCGCAGCCGGCGGGGCAGCGGAGCTGGGAGCAATCCTCACCGCCGTAGTCGTTGTCGCACACGCACTGACCCTCCAGGCAGACCCCACGGCTGGAGCAGCCCCGTGGGCAGCGTGGTTCTGAGCAGTTGCTGCCCGCCCAGCCCTCGCTGCAGACGCAGCGGCACGACTCAAGGCTGAAGTTCCCGTGGCCGCTGCACGGTAAGGTGTAATCCAGGCGTCCTGCAAAATGATGTGGGATGGGTGGTCAGAGCCCGGTGTGGGGTCTGTGAATGGAGGGCAAGTGGCAGGGGTGGTCCTCCCTATGGCTGAGCTCTCCTGTCTTGCAGGAGTTGGTGGCTTTGGGGATGGCTGAGGCTCAGGTTCAGTGTGGGTCATGCTGGGGCTCAGGGTGGGAGCTCTAATCTCAGCTCCTGCCTGTGGACCTGCTGGATGCCAGAGCTCCCCTTAGTTTCTCTGTAGTTCCCTAGACAGCTACATGGCAAAAAGCCCTCCCTGGCCAACCTCTCTGCACTAACCACAGCTCAGCGGGCTCTGCTGTCTCCTCCCCACACAGTTTCATTGTAAAGTTGAGAGATCCCAATATTATGTCCCAGTATTATGATCAAAGACATATAATATTCATCCCTATCCTGATGACTCCAGATTGGTTTGTACATGAGTTAGGGCTGTGGGAAAGCAGGGAGAACACCTCCTCTGATGTCCCTGCTTTGCTCAGCAGTACAATGAGGAGGGACATGTGGGGGTGAGGGCAGCAATTGCTCTGACACTGCCCATCCTCCCACATTTTGCCTCACAACATGGACCTGCTGCTGCAGCTTTGGGTTTACACCAGCCTGGCTAATTCTTCCCCTTCTGACTTTGCCTGCTCTTTCTCCTATGAAAGAAAGGAGGATTGGAACCCTTTCAGTGCTTCCTCCAACCCTTAGGAAGCCTCTGCACCGCAAAGACAATGAATCAGGAGACATTTTGTCCCCCTTATTGAACCTCTCATCCTAGGTGAGTTATCTGGGTGACAACCAATAGATGCCCCCACAGCAAGGCTTAACTGTATGCTAAGCCAGACAGACTGGTTTGGGCTTCTTTGCAGGATGCTTCCCCCCAGAAACTGCAAGCATTGGGAATGGCGATCGGGTTTTCTCTTCAGATCTCATCCTCTAGTTAAGTTATCAAACGAAGAGAGAGGATGCTTGTAGGTGTGCTGTAAGACAGCTCTTTCCTTGGGGAAGTGCCTCAGGCTGTGGGGTAGGGATCCTGCTCTCATTTAAAGTGTGATGAATTGAAAGCAGCTTGGGTAAAGTGAATGAAATTACTCCAGTTTTACCTTGTCGTGCACCTGCGGTTTGAGTGAAGACTCCAACTACTGATAAATGTTTAATGGGACCAGCTACATATGTTGCAAGCAACCCAAATTGCTCCATTGGTGTTTCAAATGGACTCCTTTAAATCAGGTTTTTCCCATTGCTCTTCCCACTGCATTTTAACCCTTGCTGTGCAAACAGCCTTGTCTTTCAAGGGTGTTTTCCAGTCTCTTTTATGCTCACAGCTGATGGGTGCCACACTGAGAGCATCCAAGCGGGACTGAGGCAAGCCTAGAGCCAGGAGGTGCCCTTCCTGATAGCATCCTTCAGGGGCTACCTGAGAGATCAGAGGCCAGCTGAGTGCTAGCACCTCTGCTCAGCAGCCTCTAACCCAAACCTTTCACGACCCATGTCATTATCACACTACCTCACTATCACAGACGGACTGAGCTGTGCCTTTACTGGAGAAACCCTGATGAGGGCTCTGAGAGCTTCACCAATGTCTTAGTTTCAACTGAGATGAACTGTTTTCTTCAGAGTGCCTGGTATGATGCTGGCTTTTTGTTTCTGGGTGAATGCTGATAACACACTGATGCTTACAGTTGCTGCTGAGCAGTGCTGTGCAGAGCCAAGGTCATTTTCAGCAAAGGGCCCAAGGAGCTGGGAGGGAACAGGTTGGGAAGCTCGCCCTGCTCATCCCTTACCAGCCACAATTTTATTTTTAATGGGATTTTAGCTCTGCCTGATGGATACATTTATGCTTATGGGGTTTCCACAACAAGTGGGCTTTGGGAGCTGAAGTTACCAAATCCCTCCCAGGGAATTCCCTGCCTTGGAGGCCCTAAGTTGGGCTTTTCTGTAACGGCACAGCCATGACACCATGGCTGAACAGAGATTTTCCTTCATCACTACTCTGAGTGACATTACCAGCTCTGTATTTATTTCTCCTGCCTTTTGCTCGAGCCCTGTGTCCCCAACAAGAGCTAACAGCATCGCATTACTACCTGTGGCTGCATTTTCTTGGCAGCAATTGGAGTTGCATTGGTCCCGGAGCATGGAGACCTCCCTCTCCAGCATCTCAATCCTGCTCAGCAGCTCCTGCAGGGACGGGAGGGAGGTGGAGCACTTACAGGCCTGCTTGGGCAAGTTTATCCTGTGGGTGAAGGTGACCTGGCTGTCGCTGTCAGAGGTCTGCTCCGTGTACTCCGCCAGCCTGTCGTCTTCTGAACTCACCTCCTCAGCCGAAGACCTGAGCATGGAGGAGCAGCAGCTGTCCACGGGGACATTGATGTTGTAGATGTGGTGGAAGACCATGGGCTGCTCTTTGATGGGTGGGCTGCAGTTGGCCAGGCCCCCCTCCTCATCCACTGCCGGCCTCTCGGCTGGCTCTGTTGTCACCTCCAGCCGGCACTCGAACGGCTTCAGGACAGCACCCAGCAGCAGCAAGTTGAAGCTGATGAGCACGTTTCTCAGGACTGGGTTTTCACTGTCAGTCCCCATTTTCTTGGGAGGGGGGAGAGCCTTCTAAGCCAACCTTGGTTGGCCAAGCGTGAGGAGGACCTATGGACAAAGAGGAAAGTTAGCGTGATTAGTGTTAGACTTGACACTGCACTAAGGTCGGAGAGGTGAGTTGTCCAGAGAGATGTGGGCCAGCTTGACACACACACAGTCCCACAGACCTTGGTAGAGCCCAGAGCATCCCCAAGATGGGCCCAGGGCTGGGGGAAGAAGATGGCCTTCTCCAGAGATTGCATTCCAGCATTCTGTCTCCAGCCCTCAAATGATGACAGAAGCAGATTCTTATTCCTATGGTATTTTTGAAGGTAACGGTTGATTTGGTACTAACAAAGCCCCATGTGCCTGTGTTTCCAGCAGAAATACCCCATATGGCTACTGCAATCAGTGCAACATCAGCACAGGTCATCGGGCATAAGGGGTTAAAGCATGGGTGAAAATGCCACATCCTTACTTTTCTCCAGACCCCTCCCCGAGCACACATGGTGCTCCAGGAGCTGAGCCTGAGGTTGCTAAGCTTCCTCCAGTAGCTATAGGAACAGCAGCCTCAACGCAAAACACCGTTAAATTACAGCACACAGGCTTGAGCTCCTTTAGGTTTGTGCTCTGAGCAGACAAATCCCTTGTGATGAAGTGGCTTCACCTCCTACCCATGCTCTGGATTACAGGTTAAAGTTGTCTTGATTTGAAAATAAATAACTTCTCACTTCTGTATCAATTGCAAGCCCCCAGGTACCAATCTGGGCTCCAAGGACACGATTATCTGCAGACAGAAACCACCAGTGTCAGCTTACTTGTGTTGAGGATGGATTTGGTCCCATTACTTTTGCTGGGACTACTGTCTGCTGACCAGTACTGGACATCAACAGATTTGCCATGAGGATTCAGTGCCCAACCCATCCCAGGATAGAGCTAGTGGGCAGGTGAGACTGGGACTGCAATTGCATGGCTCTCATCAGTCAGCGGTCCCCAGTATGAATGGGGTCAGCCACGGGGACTCTCACAATATCTTTTTTTTCCTAGGAGTGCCTTATGCCCTGGGAGAGGGATGAACCAGATCTGGTCCCATTGGGACAGGACAGCCAGCGTCCTTGTGCAGGGTCAGTCTCCTTCAGGCCATGAAGCTTGGGTTTTTGGAGGTGGGAGAGACACAGCTTGGCTGTGTCTGCAAGGGTCATAATCTTGAGCAGCTCCCCTCTCTCACTGCTATCCCCCTGTTCTAACTCTCCTCTTTGAGGGACAATCATGCCTCTCCATCTTCCCCAGCTTCTCAGTGAAAATATTTGTTTACTGGTTTTTCTCTTACAATACCGTGGTACTACAGAAAATACAGCTATTCAGCCGCCTCTCAGTCTTTGCAGGGTTATTATCCCATATTACTGCAGTGTTCCTCCTGCACGTTTCTTCCTGGCTCTGTGCTCAATGCCTGCCTCTCTTGTGAGCAGGCACATGGAGCTTTGCTAGGCTTTCTCTCTCTCTCTTTCTTTGTGATTTCAGGCAAAGAAAATATATAAAATTGCTCCAAAGTGTAGTGACCTTCCCACCTTTTCAGATGGGGGGTGGCATGGGGTATGGGATATGTTTGCAGCCAATGGTGGTTGCTTCCACCATTGTAAGCACATGGTGTGTGCCATGATGAGTTTGCGGGTGTGTGATATAATCCACCTGCCAGTTCTTTCCATATTTATATTTCAGCCATCATCCTCCATATCAAATATGGAGGATGATGGAGGATCCACTTGGCTTGCTGGCCATCACGAAGGCTGGAGGATGAGGAAGAGGCAGAAGCCATCCGACTCCTAATGTTGACTATGCTGCCACCTGGATGTTCCAGTGCTGGGATGGTGGAACCAGTAGTCTGGTCTTAGTGGGCTGTGAAGCCAAGCAGCTAGGACCTCTTTCTATGGAAAGTGGCATTGACAAAGCAATTGGAAAAAGGACACAGCCTTTCACCCTATGGTGATGGCACTTGTCAGCCGTGAGGGAAAGATATCCCTCCAAGGAAGACCTGATAATTAACTCAGGTAAATGGGCCACCATGGAGAAAGGTGTCTTGAGGTAACTAGCTGTGGTAGAGATGATGTGTGGAATTAACCAACAACCCATGACCCAGCCTGGCTCAGTGGGGCTGCATGCAGTGCCTCCCAGCAGCCCAAGGTCTTCATCCACCCCAGGCTCCTCCGCAGCTCCTTGGTGGCCCTGGCTGACTCTTCTTGTCCCCAGCTGACGGATAGGCCAGGCACAGGGGGAGGCAGGGGGACTAATTAGTGCTTCCTGCCTTTGATTGACTCGCTGGCATGCAAGGCTCAGCGCGAGCTCCTTGGCCTCTCTCCCTGCTTTTATTTTTTTGTGCCTGTTCAGTGGGGAAGGAATTGTGGCTGCAAGCCAGCAGCATGGAGCCGGGCCAGAGCTTCAAAGCAACATCATCACAGAGCAGCTTAGGTGGTAGGAATGAAATAAAGTCCTCCCCCAGATCTCCATCACAGCAGGTGCCTACGGGGTGCTGCCCAGTTCTCATTTCTTGGGTGATGAATGGTAGCATCACCACTCTGCCCACCCCACGCGGTGGCTTTGGGCAGTGGTGATACTGCCAGGGGGGTTGCATCCCCATGGCTCAGTGCTAAGGGAGCTGTCTCTTTGTTTTCTTTTAGTATTATAAACAGGACCATGGGTGCATTTTGGGGTTGCAGGTATTTCTGCAAGCTACCAAGGGAGAGAGGCTGCATTAACAACAGGTTTGTGGGCGAATCTGGGGCCTGCCCAATGTGAATTAAAGTTCAAATTCAAGTTTGGCAGGCATCAAGTGCTTCAACTTTAGGGATGTGTGAGATGATCAATCTGCTGCTGTTTATGTGCATGGGGCTCAATAAAAAGAGACAATCTAAAACTGAGAAAAACACTGGAGTGCTGTTTCCAGAAGCGGCAAAGCGCTCTACCTCCCAGATGTCCTCCCTTCACCCAGGATTTGTGTCCTGGGGGCCTACAACGGAAGTGAAAAGCTAAGATACATCCTGCAGTGCATGCACCTGAATTATAGATTTTTGTGGCCCTGAGCAGCATCTGCAGCCCTTTGTTTATTGCCTGTAAATATGGCCTTGACAAGCCCAAACCATGCGACAGATGTGGGTATGGCACAGCTGCAAAACCACTTGGTTTTGGGGAGCATCTTGCTGGAGATGATTTAAGGCTTAAAAAACCCAACAGCATCCCTGTGCAAAAACAGCTTGAACATGTCAGGTGCCTCCAGGACCCATAGGACTGATACAGGTTGGCTCTTGTGACATGGGTACCTGTAGAGTGAGTGCTTTTCCCCCGCTGACTAATTGCGTGGTTAAGGATGAAATACTCTCCTGCTTTAAACAGCAGTTCCCTAACTATACGTGGAGGAAGAAATCTATAGTTCCCCAAGCTGCCTGTAAATTCGGCAGGCTTAATAATTCATGTATGCCTTTGTGATCGCAGCCGACATTATATCTTTCTTTCATTACACGCTTCTTTATTGAATTTTTGCAGCATATATCAGTAGCCTCTATACGTTCCCATGGGAAAGATTGAGAGCAAAGTTTCAAGATGAGCTCTTTTCCTTTACACGTGGACAGGTGGAGCCTGAATCTGACCCGTGTGACCCCACAGCATCCTCAGGTGATGCTTGGCATGGTGGCTTGCAGTGCTGTATGCAGTGCTCTGCTCCCTGCTCTGCAGACCCTTTTCCCCCAGAAATGCCCAATTTTACAAAGAAAGAGTTTCTGGTGATCCCATCTTTAGTGTCACAGCCACCAGCTCTGCCTCTCACCTCTGCATGCAGCTCTTCTGGCCCTAGAACTGGTGATGCCCTGAAGCCATAAAGAAGGAATTAACCGTAATTGCAGAGCATCGTGGGGCACAAACAGCCTCTAAATCCTCTCCAATTATGTAGTAGCACTTAATCTATAAGGAAATTGTAGTTTAAGAGCAAAAATAAATATGAGGTTATTTTTGTGTTCAGCATGGGCACTGGCCATTAATTTTGGAGGGTGATGGAGGACCCATGTGGTAGGGGCTGTCAGATGGGGCTGTGTCCTACAGGGATTTGTTGTGAACTGCTGCTAGGTCCAGCCATACCAACAGGCTTTTAGCTGTTCCCATACCCCTGCTCACCCAGCTCTGCTTTTCCTTTGCTACTCTGCTTTTTTGCCCATCCTAAATGGACTTCAGGTGCAAATGACTGCGAGTTTGCTTTCTAGTTACAGCTACATTTAGCACCTGCATGGCAGGAGCTCGGTGAAGAGCTGTGGGGACCTGGTGAAGCATCACATAAGCGGGCAGTTTCTATCCTTCTCTTTCCCCCTCCATCAATTATGGCTTTTCCCACTTCTGTTCCTGGCATTCCTCCCTTCGCCCATCCTTGCACAGGACTCATGGATGGAAGGTGCAGGATCACGTGGGCATCTTCCAGCAAGGAGAAAATCCATCCTGAGGGCCCGGATCTCTAGCGAATTCACCCCACCTGAACGGCACTGGCTTTGGGTCCCTCTCAGCCACGTGCACGGGTTTTATTTTCCCCTGTTTGCTCTCAGCACACAGCTCTAGGAAAGGCAGCAAAGCCTCGTGCTCGTGTATCTGCTGCTTGCTGTCATGTTTCATTAGTGCGTGAGCCGTCCTGCTCCTCCTCGGAGCTGTGTGCATAGCTGCTGTGGATGCGAATTACCCAGCATGGGATGCTCCCATCCCAGCTCCTCCAAAGCACTGCCAGCCGCTGCCCCTGCCTGGTAACGATGCAAATTAATGTATGCAACACATCCACATGTGCATCCAGAAGTCGGATGCGTGTCCAGAAAGCACTGCTTGGGCACAATGCATCCCCTCCGCAGAGCCCAGTGTTTTAGGAGTGCAGTGAGATGCTCACCCCCAGACCTACTGCAGGGCTCGGGCTGGTTTCCACCATTGAGAAGACAACCAGAGCAGGGAAATGAATCGTGGACCTGCTGCAGAGACTTCATTTGATAAATAATGTATATAGAGTTTGCAGTAATAACCACTTTTTTTTCCGAGCCAGCCAGCCAGGCTGGCTTTGACACATCCTGGCTGTACTGTCAGATAGGTTAATCTGTTTTATTTATTTATTTTTTTCCACCTCAGATGAGCTGCATGCATGTGTACAGAGAGGAGGTGGCAGCCCTGGCTTTGCACTGGGATGCTCGTGGCTGCCTCAGATCCAGGGCTGCTCCCCTCTTCTTTGGCCTCAAGCAGGCCCCCATCCCCTGCTGTATGCCCAGATGGGCTCCCTGTTTCAGTCCTGACACTGCATCAAGAGAGAGTGGGAAACCCACCTGTCTACATCGCTCTGAAGGAACCAGAAACAATCCCAGTGCTTTGCCCTACAGGGAAAACCAAGATGCTTGGGAAACAGCAGTGTCCCAGAGTGGACTGGCACTGAGGACCCAAGCCAGGCTGGGATTTTATTGCCCTATAATAAGCAAGTACCTCGTTAAGTAGTGGATATAAATGTGTAATGTAATTTCGCTGAGCTTGGAGCTGGTGCATGGCATGGGAGCTTGGAAGCACGCCTGCTGGTCTGTCAGGTTTTGTGGGATCCAGCTCGTTCCTACTGACTTAAATTCTCCCCTTAGCACCATGAGCGTTGGGTTGGACTGTTTACAAGCCTGCACTTAAAATCAATTTTAAGGTTATTTTTTGCCTGAAGAGCTGCATGGAGACACAAGAGTTGGGCTGAAGGAGACCCTTTTGGTCATGTGGCAGTGATGTGCCATACCTCTTGCTGGCTCAGTTCCCTCCTCTCCCTCAGTACCCAGCACCCACACACTCATATGTGCAGTTGCCCTTTCCTGCTCAGAGAAGGCTGGTTCAGCACCTCTTGTTTCTCTGAATTTGTGAGTCTTATCATTTCAAAGCCCAAATTAGCCACAGCCATCTGAAGCACGCTTTCTTGCTGCCCTCCTCCCCTTTTGTTCCAGTGGATGGATAAATAGTGGTAAGTGATGCACTGTGGTCTCCTGTGCAGGGCTTGCTGAAGTGAGCAATGAGATCTCTTGGACAGCAATTACAGCACTGTGGGAAGAGCCAAAAATATGCATGGAGCTGGAGCACAGAGGTGTGAAAGGCAGGGATTTTTGGTTGCAGGAACTTGGGAGCAAACAGCCCCTGATGCCAGCTGGGAGCAGGACAGCTGGTCAGATTCAGCAAACCCAACCTACTCATTGATACGGCCTGCTGCTCTCTTATTACACACAGCAAACAGGACAGAGGTCAGGGCAGGAGAGACGTAGTGGTGGATGGCTGCATCCAGGAGCACCCTGGCTTCCATCAAAGCTCAAATATCCATAAAAAGCTATTGGTTGCCAAAGCCCCCAGGGGCTGGCAGGCAGGACTGTGCTGCTGGGGGGCAGCCCTCTGAGCCTGCAAAACCTGCAGGAAAACACGACAGGGATAGGACCCAAAGAGTCATTTGCAGCCTCCTGGTCACTAGGATGGAGAGGGGATGGCTTTGTCCTCCATGGGGCTCAGGGACAGTTTGGGGCTGAGAACGTGGCTTTAGTTTGTTATATTTTAAGTCCCAGTTCTGATGGTGTCATGTTCGAGCTTCTGCACACCCAAATGCTGACTCAGCCTGGGCTGGCATCCAGGCCCATTGCTCTCTCCTGGTGCTTCTCTCTGCCAGGGAAAAAGACATCTCGGGATCATCAGCAGCAATTTTTTGTTTCCACCAGTGGAACACCAGCTCCATCCTCCAAAGACGTGACAAAGTGAGGACCAAACATGCGCACAGCTGTGCAACATGATCCAAGGGATGCTCATCCCTGAGCCTGAAAGAGCCAATTTCTAATTTTGACAAGGTCAGCAACAAATCAGCACGAAGGCAGCAGCATCATGGATGCTTTAGGCAGTATCATTCCCAAAGGTGAGAGGAGCACTGGGGCTGGCAGCAGCCTGTGCCTGTAGGAGATTTTCAGCTTCCCAATTTATGAATGGAAGCTGATAAATTTTCCCCACTGCTTATCCACGGTCATGGTCTGGAACCACGAGAACCCCTGTGCTGTTTTACCTAACAAACCCTGGACTGAAACACTGAGGTACAGCCTAAAACCACACCTGGAGCCTCCAAGCTGAGCTGTGGGGCTGTGATGTACCCCAAAGTCAGTCCCAACCAAAACAACCATGGATGCCAGAAGTGGAGAGTCTGAAGCACAAATCCTTGCAAGACTTACACTAAGAAGTTAAAAAAAACCCCACAAAAACACCATAAAACTTTAGGAAAATGTAACTTCGGTTGCATTTTTTTGCTTTTTTGCCCCCTTGAAAGCAATAAAGAGCTTAATAGAAAATGACTTTACGTGGATCGCGCTATGAAATTGAGAGAGTTATTCACCCTGCCATAAAAAAATGTATTGGCTAGTTAAAACCACTCTTAGAAAGAGCATCCTAAGCTGTTAAATCCTACAGGTTGCAGGGCAACACTGCTAGCTGCATTGCTAATACATCTTGCAAGACCTGCTGTATGGGAACTGCTGAATCACAGCCTGAACCTCTGATTGACCACCTGAGGAGAGCAATGGGTCAGCCCTGGGAGCACAGCTGAAGGCAATTCACCTGTGCTGCTGGAAGGGGTGGAGCCTGGCTGCACCTCTCCTAGACCCATATAAGAGCTGGCTACCAGCAGGGAAGGACCTGTTTTGGAGATCACTCTTCTTGGGGTCTTCTCAGCAAGCCCAGGACAGGGTAAGCTTTCCATCCATTCTTCTTTAGTGTGATAATCTGTTCAGCCTAACTCCTGTATATTTCTTAATTATGACATCTGTATATTCACTGATTACACACCTGCTGGTAGGGCACAGTTTCTCAGGGAACTTGAAGCATGTTTGCTGGTATGTGGGCATTGACAAGAGCCAAGATAATGCTGATAATGTCAGTAACACCTCTTGCATACTGGGGAGTTAATCTTATTCAGTTATTTTATTCTTTTATCCTCTCTCTGGCAATTCCAAGAACTTCCTGAGCTTGTGCCCAGATGCTGATACTCAGGTGAAAGGAGAGGTCAGCCCTCACCCCCATAGGATTGCCCTTAACTTGGATGTTGCATCTTTCTTCTTTATTTCTTTTTATCATTTCCCTCCAGCAGGCATTCTGAACTCATGCATCTCCAAGGAGCTCTGAGCATTCTGGCCAGCCCTGTACTGGAGACATGGGACAACTTAATCCCTTTTCTCAAGCAGAAGCAGCACCTCAGGTGTGAGAGCTGGCTGCTGCAACTCCTTTTTAAGGCACTATTTCTCTCCTTGATTTTCACTGCATGACGCTGCTCACAATTTATCATTGTTTACCAAGACTGGAGCCTCTGGTGATGACACCAATGGGAGTTTTTCACCAACTTCCCAGGGCAGCCACAACTGGTTGGCCATTAAGGGATTTGTGTACAAGTCGGCCCTGGAGCCAGGCCAACTTTCTCTTCCAATTTCCCCTCCTATTCTTCACCCTCACTGCCTGTTTTCCCTTTGGGAGACCTGTTGCACTTTGTTTCTTTTTCTTTTTTCTTTCTTTCTTTTTTTTTTCCCCCCCTTTGCTTTTTGTTACTGCATATAGCAGAGTTTGATCTGGCAACCAGCCAGGGGACCTGCAATTGCTTTGTCCTTTGGTGTGCTGGGTTATTTCGACTTCAGGTTTTTCTATAGAGAAACCGATTAAGACAAAAAAGAAAAAGAAAAAGCTACATCTTTAAGTGGAAGTGAACCTTTAGGTTATCTCGGAGGCAATCTCCTTAGCTCTTTTCTTTCTGGCTCTTCACCTTGATTTTTTTTTTTTAGTTGTTAGCTCTTTCATTTCCTTCACAGGTGCTTGAGGCGTTTAAAGGATGCTTTTCCCTTTCCCAGGCAGATGCCACTTCCAGCTCACCAAATCGTACCCCTAAAAGCAGAGGCAGAACTACAAAAGTTATAGCATTGTAGTCATGCTGGCTTGCTGACACAGGGAGGAGGTACTACCTAGAAAATGCCAGCAAATGGTGAGAAAGAATGGATCTTCCCTCCTCAAGTTTAGCAAGAAATTGGGAGCAGGTGACTTGGATGTGGACCAGCCCTCACATGAGTCAGCATGGGGAGGTGGGTGAATAAAGGGGACTTCTCAAACCCCTGGTCTCTCATTGCCTATTGATGATGGAGCCTTCAAATCCACCAACACCTCCTGGGAGAGCGATACAGCAGCATGGAGTTGTTCCGTTCTTGAGGTGTGTTGGGATAACATCTCATTTCCAATGATTTGGGGAAGGGTACTGGAAAAGCTGCTACTTTGGCTTTGATTTGGGCTAACAAAGAACTGCTTGGGGAAAAAAAAAAGAGGGGGGGAGGAAGGTAATTTCAGGCAACAAATCACAAAATAATGGAGTGCACAGCGCCAAGAGAAAGGGAGTGAGAACAGCAGAATGAGGATAATGGTCTGCAAAAAAAATCTCTGGGAACTGGTTGGTGACATCTCTAGGGAAGATAATCTGAGGAATAAAGAGAGTATAGGGAAGGTGGCAATTACCTAAAGTGACTGCATTAGGGCACCAAAACAAGCCATCTCAATGCAGAGGGACAAGAGGAAGGTGGCTCAGAGACCTGGCAGATGTGAGGCCCTAAAGGAGTTGCAGAGAAAGGGACCCAGCGATGAGGAGAGCAGATGCAGAAATGCAAGCAGAACAAGATCCAGTAGGCCATCAGTTTAATGGCTGCGAAAAACTATTTTCTAAGTGCATGGGAAGGAGAACGAGAGATAAGGAGAGCCCAAGCTCTTTGCTTCTTGAATGGAGGAGAGCCAAGAGTTGCAGTGCAGGAACCCTGTGTGGGCTGAGCTTCAGCCCTCCCTCCCATCCAATTCATTAGGACAGGGTAATTGCACCAGGCTCCAATCCAGCCCAGAGGAGAGCATCCTCCAGGGCATTTAGAGTCAAGTGTGCTCCTGTTAGCAGGGCATGCCTCAGGCTGCCTTCACAGAGCTAACCCAACTTCTGGGGCATGCAGGGTTTCTCCAAGTCCTGCAGGAGCATAGTGGTCTGGGAGCACCATGGTGGGGCTGTCCAAGGAAATCACCTGCAGGAACTCAAAAATGGCTATTAATGGGACCGAAGGAAGGGCTGGGGACCTCGTGCTGAGCTTCAGGTGGAGGTGAGTGAATCAGATGCTCTGCCTCATCCCCTGCAGTTGTGCCAGCATCACTGCAAGCTGATGAGCTCACTTGTGTGTCTGTCCCAGCCAGTCGCTGCCACGCAGTGCAGCCCACAGAGGCCATCCCTGCCCTACAGCCGTGCTGCAGCCACCAGCTCGTCCCAATCACTGTCATCTCCAGTGCTGGCATTCCTCATCTTTATCCACGCCATGGGCTGCCCCCCATCCCTGTCTCTTGGGTTCAGAGACCTGAAGAAAACCTCAGGCTTTGCTCAGGGCTTGTTTTCCATCTCTTCTGCCCCTCTCTTCATATTGCAGCACAGCATCCCTGCTGCCCATCACCTCTGCGCTGTGTCCCCAGGGACCACAGTTCTGCCGTGCTCTTTGCATGTCTGTGTTTGTCTTAGTGGTTGACCCCTTCAGTTGATATTAGCCTCCCGGTCACCTCCACCACTGCCTGTCACAGCCAATTAGAAATACAGTCATCTCTGCATCATGGTCCTCGTTAAACCAACCGTTCCTTCTACCTGCTGCAGTCGTCACCTCATTATAACTCCATTACCTTTAACAACAACTCCATTACCATCCATTATCTTTCTTATCATCTCCTTTACAAGGCTGTTATCTGCACCTCCTCCTCTCCAGCTATCCCCTCCTCAATTACGATACCATTATCTTTATTACCACCCCATTAGAGTCATAATTATTCCCATTACAATTCCAAGATCCGTGCCTCCATCCAGACACCCCGTTGTCTCTTGCAGCCCCATTACCACCACCAGCACTGCTCCTGGTTGCCTCCCTTAGCACTATAACCACCTCCCTCCCTGCATTCCTAATCATCCCCATGCCGACAGCCATCTTTTAATTATTTTTCATTACAGTTTTATTGTGTTTTGCTGTTATGACTTCCTTTACCAGCCATTCTGCTGGAGTGCTGTGATTGGGATCAGTACCTGGGTGGGAGCTGGTGCTCAGGTCCGTGGTGTTATGACACTACACTGACTACCACTGGTTCTGTGTGGGTATCTTTCACCCCATCCTCCATCATAATTCCAGCATTTCCACATCTGCTGTAGCCTAATTACTGGCATTTTCCTTCCACCAGCCTCCTGCTCATCCCCATTGCAGCTCCTTGATGGGCACAGCCCCTGCTCCAGCCATCAGAGCCCCTCTCCTCCTGCCTAGGCAGAGCAGCCTCCCCAGCACTCTCTGATTTCCCATGCCTACAGCTGGCAACAGCTCCAGGTACAGTTTGATCTCTTCATTAACCCCATTATTGTAGGGGAAGAAGTACCAACTTCCCCATACTCCCAACTTTCCCAAATTCCCATGGTGCAGCCCTGAGCACTGCATCCCATTGGTGCTCCTCTCCGTGTAGCTGCTGTGCTCTGGGCACTGCCAAAACCACTTGCCTGTGACCACAGCACCAACACCTTCCCCAAACCACCCCATTCCCTCAGGGATGATGTTGGAAGGTTCTTCCATCAGCACTGATAGGAGGGAGAGTTTCTTGCTTGGCATCGGCGCCACATCTGTGGTTTTTGGGGTCTGGCAGTGCTGTATCTCTCTGAATCTCATGGGAATGTTTCAGAGTAGAGCAGAGTTTCTTAAGAAGTCTGTGTGGCTTATCCAGAGTGACCAGAGCATCGTAACACAGGTCTTACTGCCTCATCGCAGCCCTTGCTCCATGTGTGGGAGCACAGAACATTGCCAGCTAAAGATGTGAGCACCCAAACCTGGCACTGGGGAGAGTGAGTGGATGGGCTTCTCCATCCCTGGGGCATCATCTGGGAGATGGGATTGGCTGGAGGAATGGGGGGAGCAGTGCAGGGGAAGGGCACCGTTCTGAGAGTGCTGAGCTGGAGTGCTTTGCTCTGCCTGTGGGCTGCTCAGCAAAGGAGGATGTGGAATCAGAGCAGTTATAGAGAGTCACAAAATCATCAGAGGAAGGGATACTGGAGAGATGCAGAGAGCTGAGCCCGCTCAGTCCATCAGGAAGATGGAGAGGTAGCTTCATTTGTTCCCATAAGAACTGTCAAGGCAGGGAAACACTAAAGAAGGTACTAAAGAGCTGCTGAGCACTGAGAGGAGAGCAAAGCGAGCTGGCAGGGAGCGAAGGCAGCAGGGCTGGGGATGCGAGGATGCCCACTGTGTGTGCGGGCAGTGTTCAGTGGAGCTGATGGACCCACCCCGCTGGGATCGTGGGCGCTGGGAAGGGCCGGCGGGTAATTAACGCTGCGGTGTGAGCCGCGATTTCGATCAGGTTGGAATGCCCCGGGGTTATTTCCCACGATCGATGCGCGTCATAAATAATGCATCTGCGGTGGGGCGGGAGGGGGGGGTGTGGGGTGGAATGCTGCCTTTCCTTATCAGATGCAGAGCTCTGAGTGGATCGGCGGCGCTGGGAGGGAGCACGGCTCAGAGCAAAGGGTGAAAAAGGGGAATAAACACATGGAGGAGGTTTGGCAAATTCCAGCTCTGCCGAAGCAGACCGAAGGGAGATGGTGCAGCTACTATTTCAGGATTCTGATAGAGTGGATATAATAGAGGGTGGAAGGGGATTTGGGAGTCAGAGGGAAGGATTTGGATGGATGGGGCAGCACTAAGTTCCCTGGCTTTCAGCTTCCATCTGAAGCCTCAGGTTGCCTCTCGCCGAGCGTCAGCCAGGCTTGCCCAAGAGATCTGCTTGCCTGCCAGCATGGTCAAGTGATCCTTTGCCAGGTGACTCTTCAGCCAGTCCACTTCATAACTCGGGGTCTTAGCCCACATGGCCCTATTTTCCATCTCCTGCTCTGAGTTTGCTGCCAACCCATCATCAACCCTCCAAGTGCTCTGAGAGCAAAAACTGGGATCTGGCATATTTTGGTGCAATCATGGTTCTTTACTATGAGAGTGGTGAGGTGCTGGAACAGCTGCCCAGAGAGGCTGTGGATGCCCCGTCCATCCCTGGAGGTGTTCAAGGCCAGATGGATGGGGCCCTGGGCAGCCTGGGCTGCTGTGAAATGTGGAGGTTGGTGGCCCTGCATGTGGCAGGGGGCTTGGAGATCCATCATCCTTGAGGTCCCTTCCAACCCGGGCCATTCTGTGATTCTATGGTGCCTTTCCCTGCCCTTCTATTTCCAAAAATGACAGATCTAAAGCTGGTCTGGTGGGGACAGGGCTTTCCTGTCCCCTGGGCTGCAGCCCAGATGGTCTGTGCAGATTATTGCAGCCTCCAGGGCCACCAATCCCAGGCAGTTTGGCAGGGCTGAATTCCCTCCAAATGACAAAAATAAATAAAATCTCTCTGCATTAAATGCCGGGAAGACCATGAAAGAGCTGTGTACACAATGAAAACAAATACATGGTTAAATAACCTCTCCAACAGTATTTCTCTAAAATGCCTCTCTAAATAACACAAAGTGAAAGGCTTGCTCAGCAGTGATTAACTTCAGTTCAGGAAGATGGTCTGTATCAAATCGTTACCGTCAGCTGATTAAAAATGAATTAAACCTAACGGAAAACAATTCCCAAAACATCACCTCGCCTTTCAAATGCAATTCCCAAATACAAATAATAGCAGACCCTACAGAAGGAGGTACCTGGAGAGCCCAAGGATGAAACTGCTGATGGGACCAAGGATAGGGGTTGTGGGAGCAAAGGGGATGCGGATCAGGGTGAAGAAAAGTAACTCAACCTGGAGACTGCTTTGCCTTGAAGGGACGTTTATTTCCAAGCTGTTGGTTTTGAAAAATAAAATAATGAAACAGGGGGGAAGGGCCACAGTTAATTTAGCATCATTTGTCTGCTTGGCATCTGGTAAAGGTCTGAAGGATCAGGAAGGACAAGCAGGTGGGAGAGACACACGCTTGTGCCAAGCTTTGGCATGGGTTCTAATTCCTGCCAATCAAGCATAGCCAGCTTTTAATTGCCACACTCCATGTGAGTCCACTAAATGGCAACGCTTCTCAAGGCAGATTTTCTTTTTAAGTAGTTCCAGTTTTCTTAATTTTTTTTTCATCAGCAATTTCATATTGGTTGTTGGGTCTCATCACTGCTCCCCTTATTTGGAGTGACCAAGAGGCATCCCTCCTGGGGGTTGTGCCAGGGGAGGATTAGGTTGGACAGCAGGAAGAATTTCTTCATGGGGACGATGGCCAAGCATTGGAACAGGTGGTGGAGTCCCCATCCCTGGATGGGGACATGGGTTAGTGTGGTGGGTCTTGGTAGATCAGGCTGATGGTTGGAACTGGTGATCCTGAAAGTCTTTTCCATTACCTAAGATAGAGAGAGAAAGGGAGAACACACCCACATTTTTGGAGGGGATGCATCCTGCAGCAATACTGTGCTGGTGACCCAGCTGTGATGTCCCCACTGGTCTCCCATGTGAGCTCAGTGGAGGGTATAGGTCTTGAGGTAGGGCTGGGAGCCTGCTGGCAGAATTTCTGCTTCTTGGACACTGATCTGCACTGTTACAAAGCAGAGCCTCATTACCAAATCTAATTACAAAGGGGAGTAAATCACCTGGATTTTTTTTTTTTTTTTTTTGTGCTTTTGGAGAGTGCTTTTGGAGATATCATAAAAAAGGATAATTGACAATCGAAGGGAGCCCGTCATTCTGACACATTAATAACAGCCTATTTTAAGCCACCAAGAACACGACTCAGCAGGTTGGGAAGTTGTAAAGCCAACACACAGTGCTCTGCCTCTCTCCCCATTTGTGCCCCCTGAAAGCAGCAGCAAACCCAAATAGCAGTGCTAACAGCAGCACGTGTGTATGCACACCCAGTTCTTCCCAGCATATGGATATCTATATGCTGGCACAGGGTTTGGGGTATGCCAACAGTGGCTTTCTCCTGTGTCATCCCATGGCACATCCCCGCTGGGTGTCCCTGCTCTTGCCCTACGGAAGCATTCCTGCTGAGGTCTCACTGCATCCTCTGCTTCTCTTCCCACCAGCAAAGGAAGCCTGTGCCCAGTCCTTCATGTCTGGGGACAACAGGGACCCTATCCCTATCCTCTGTGCCCCCAGCTCCTGGTAATGTTCTCATCTCACTGCCTATTTACCCACCATCTCTTCCATGCTCTGTTTATCCTGCACTCTTTATTCCCCACCAATCCTCCCTCACCAGTCCCTCGCACTCTGGGTTGAAGCCTATTTGTACTCTTAACCTTTGTCTCTCTTTCGTCTGCCTCTTTGATCTGCCCATCAATCTTGCCTACAGCCTCCATCACTCCCAGCCCCACATCACCATCACCACGCTCTCCATCAGAGCTGTGCCCATTTCCCCATGGGGCAGAGCGTGGTAGGAGATGAAGGTACAGGGCCTCAGCATCCCATAGGGGATGGGCTGGGGCACTCTGCATTGCCCAATTTTCTTCATCCCTGTGCACCAGCATGCCTGGAACCTTGGCTGTGGCGTTTTTGGGTACTTTCCCTGGGGCCTGGACCCCTTCCAGCCACATAAAAAGTGAACACAGCCAATAAAACCATGCATGTGCATTGAGCAAACCCAACCACGGGCTGCTCAGCAAAGTCTGGTCAATCATTTTTCCCAGGGCTCCTCCATGTCCTATCCCATGAAAAGGTCTTTTTTGGTAGAGCATTACCAACAAACAGGAGGTTCCTGCGATGGAGACATGGTACTAGGGAGGATAACAGCAGTGGGTACAGATCCCACAGCGCTCCCATTGCTCGTGTTTGGGACAGGAGATGAAGTGTTTAAGAAAGCAGCTGCAGAAGTGATGGGAGGGGAGAAAGCAAAGCAGAACTTCCACAGAGCCTCACCAGGTGCATGGTAAAGACAGGGAGAGAAAGCACCATTAGGGATATGCTGCCTACAGAAGGAATTTACTTACAGCCACAAGTACTTAATGGCTCGATTTGTACCACAAAGCCCTGGAGGTATATCTCTTTTCATCCCCTGGTGTCCTGTTTAACACAGCCTCATGAATTATTAATCCTGCTGTTCGTGCTCATTGCTCCAGTGCTGAGGTGTTCTCCAGCTTCACGGGGTTAAAATAAATAGCACTGTGGTCCTGGATGCATGTTGGGGTGTTGGAGAATCACCATCACTCCTGTCTTGGCGCTGGAGGGCATGCACACCCCAACCCAACCACCCCATGCATCCCTGCTGCATCTCTCTGCCCACAGCGGCGGTGGCATCTCTCCTGAAATCTGTCCTCTAATCTGTTCTGAAATCTGTCTGTCTGATGAGGCAGCCCAGACTGCCTTACAAGACCAAGCAGCCTTGTAATAAAATCACTGGTGTCAACCTGGGGTGCAGGACAGCGCCATGTCCATGAAAGCACAGTTGGAAGAGGAAGCCCACTTGAGCTCAATTTCCTCATTGCTTCCAACCTGGGTCAGGCGTGCTGCTGGATGGCACCAAAGTGGACACGAGATCATCAGAACCAACAACCAGGATCTAATTAAAGCCTCTAATCGAGACCTCTTTAATTCGATGATCTTGTGGGACGAGTCACAAGAAGACAAGAGGAGAAATAAAGGGGAGAGAAGTTTGTCAGAGAGATCTGCTGCAGCATGAGCAGATGGGTCCCAGAATGAGGGCCAGCAGAATGAGGAACAGAGACAGCATCACCTGTATGGGTTTGGCCAGGTAGAGAATCATTGCATCACCACCCATTTCCATGGGTGGAACTAGCCCTGCCTGGTGCTAGTTGAAGGGAAAGGCTGCCTTCCCATCACCTTCCTACTCCCTGCACTTCCACTGCCCTCCCATCAGCCCTTCCCCACACGGCTCTCCCCTCCATTCCATCTCCTTATCTCAGCCCCTCTCATCTCCCAGCCTTTGTGCCGCTGTCTGTCTCTGCTCCAAACCCTCCTTATCTCCACCTCTCCCTGCTCCAGCTCTGTTTACATCACTAAAACACTTGTCCAGGTCAAACACGTTTTCCTGATAAACACATTTCCATTGATTGCTGGGAAGAAAATCCTCCAGAGCAGCAGATTCTGCACTCTGGGGATCGATAACGAAAATCCCCTTTACCCCAGCCCTCTCCATCCCACAGGCTGTGGATGTTGGACCTGCAGGGTGATTTGGAGGGAATCAAAAGGAGAGGGTGGGGGTGGTGGGGACCTACCTGTTGGTGGGGTCACTCCAGCCACCACCAAGCGGAGGTGACAGATGTTCCCCAGCTGAGCCCTGGGGTGTGTGAGCAGCCCTCGGTGTGGTCAGCTAATGCACTTGTGAGGGGGAAGCTCATGCATTTCCACAGCG